ACTGCAACCAGATCCTCCAGATTTCTAGGAGGCAAACACTAATTTTCAAGTGAGTAAAGACTTCTTTGGCAAGACTTCCAAACTCAAATAACCTCCAACCACCAGTAATACTGGATCAGTGATAATAGAAGCTTTTAAATGTGTGACCGGAGAACGCACAGGCGACGAGGCCAAGTAGTTGTACGCGACAGAATGCCTGTTTGGAATGTGAGGTTGTAATTTGAGTGGCTAAGAAATATTTACCCTAACCCCTAACGTTAACACTAACCTCTGACACCAACCCCCAACCCTTACTCCTAATTCTAACTCCTGACCCCAATCCCTAACTGTAACTTCCTACCCCAACCCCGACAGTATTGCGTCCATCAGGTGGGGCTGCATGACCACATCTTACTGTCAATTTCCAACTTGGTCTATAAGTATTTAGCAGAAAATGCCTTATGTGGACTGTCGTTTACCAAGATTTTACTTGTTTGCAGCTGTCAGCGGGAATCCAATTTGCCCCGCAACTCGTCCGAGAGATCGGAAAAAAAGAATACATATGCCGTAGACTATTGACAGAATCGCAATTTATCATAATGAAATTACATAAGTGAAGCAGGTAAGGGACTTAGAGGTAATGCAACAAGTCAAAGTTTTGGCAGAAAAGCCATCACAAAAAATTGTCAAACCACCTCTGCTTGCATCACGGGGAATCATCGGCGAACTACTTAAGGTGAAGTGACCACTAGACGGACGTGTATAACGCGTAAACCGACTGGCACCACACACATTTGATTACTCTCCCGACGACTCTATCTTATCCACATCTACCCTGGTATCATTTTCCTGTCAGTCTAAAATAATTGAACACTGTGTGCAAACTAGCATACGTCAGTCGACTAAATCGATTTCGCTTCTCTATAAACAAGTCTGGAGCCATACTGGTGCATTCTGAATTACCCATAACGTGCCTTTTTCCGTACCACTATCTCCCAAGTCTGTCGAAGATTCACATTAATGCGATGCACAACAGTATAGAAGAATGTCCTAATTATCAACCAGAGTTTTCATACTTCAAGACGGCTAGTAATTTCCCTCTAGTCTTTAAACTGAACCCAACCCTCGCAACAATATGGCATCTGCATCGGATGGCCCAATGTGTAGCCATTTGGTTGAACGAGCAAGATCGGTGACACGCCGACACTCCCGTTATAACACTGGCAAGCACTTAAATTTTGTTCGCATAAAAATGAGACGCCGCTCATTAAATATTCGTGCTTCATCTACTCTCATCACATTTGGTGGCCTTAACAGGTCCCAGTAAACTATGCACGTGCTCCAATCTATCTGTGCGTAGTAGGAAAAAAATGTTTTCGTGTGTTTGAAACTGCGGGCATTTACCGCTTACATGCAAAGTTTTTTGTAGAAGCTGAAACGAAGCAGACTCCAGACTATGGATGGAAAAATTTAATAAGAAAAAGCGGGCCTGCACGCTTGGTAGATTAGTCAGAAACGCATGTCTCAGACCTGTGTATTAAAAGCTGAAGGGATTAGGGAGGAGAGTTTCTCAAGGTTGAAACTGCAAAACTGTGTCTGCCATTTTTAGGGCCCACACCCTGAAATTTTCCCAGGAGGCTTTGTTGACAAAGCCTCCCAATCACCCCTTCAGTCGTCTTAGCAAAAAACGAATTGCAATTGCATGGAGAAAATCAGTGCACAGTAAATTCCGGCGAAAAATTGGCGTTTTTAAACATTTGTTCTTAGACTGACCTGATACCGCCATGTAACGCAAATTCTAAAGCTGGAGTTCTTTATGTCTTGCGCAAGGAGAACGATGCATCTGCGGAAATACTCTGCGCCATTGTAACCAGATTCTCAAGATTTCTCCCAAGCAAAAAATAATTTTCAAGTTAGTAAAGTCTTGTTGGATAAAACTCGCAGGTGTATTACTATTACCAAACGTAGGACATGTTCAGGTGCGCAAGTTAGGTCAAGGGCAGATCTAAATGTTCAAAACTGCCCGAATGCATGGTTACCCAGACTGCTTCATAGATATTTGTATTTTTTATATATAAAACTTTTAGCTACTACCATTATTCATGAGCACGTTCTCAACGCAAAAATACTTTTAAACGTATTAAACGACCAACGAGGAGGCACAAGGTTTTAGATGCCTATTATTCGTGAAATAAATTTTTGCTATTAGGTTTCCGGAATTAGACCATATGCTGTATGGCCACGGTAGGATGAAGGACACTACTCAAGTCTCCATAGACTCTTGATCGCGCCAAATGGAGTTTTATCCTGGCCTCAATTAGCAGACTATTGACGAAATTAAACTCATAACAACAATAACCCCCCATGACCTCAAACCATTACTCAAACTCCGTTATTTTTGAACAATCGTCTATTGTTTATTTTTCAATTAAGGCGCTCGTTTCCGTTGTCGTGCCAAACCATAAGGTAAGACTTTCGGCAGAAATCCAAGTTATTCTGTGTTTTCCTGCATTTCGCCAGCTTACAGTCCGCCTTGCTGCCCCACATCTAAAAACCCCATTACCACGACCCCATGTGACACGATCCAGACTTTACCGACAGTAATACGGGGTAGTTCACCGTATGGTTGCCTACTTTGCTTCCAAAGTATCAGTCTACTCATTTACGCATTTTTTCGCGTTTATGGGGTTTCCATCTTTTTCTAATAAATTCTGTTCTTTAAGATGCAAATAGTACTTGAAATATGTGGAATACCTCGAGTTAGTGCTCGGAAGAACTCTCCGAAAGCGCCCCTCTACCATTGTTTATTTCCGACCAAAACAGAGAAGACGACGAGCCCGTGGCTCAGTGGTTAGGGGTGTTGGACTTCTAACTAACAGGACACGTGTCCGAGTCCCAGGTGTTCCACACCTCAGGGCTGGGTATTACTGTTTTTGTCAGTAATAGCATTCTGCATACACCATACGCCGCTGTGTGGATGTCATTTGGGCTCGAGAGAAAGTCCGTAAGGCACAACAGAACGAGCGAGTCCCGTAAGAGCGATCGATGTGCGCCTCTCCATCAGACTCAGGCTTGTTACACTCTCACACTGTGTTTCCTGATTATCAGAAGTCATTGAGAGGCTAATTGGCCACAAAAGATCAGCTGAAAGGGCTCATCGATTAGCGGCCCTCAGTTTCGAGTATGACCAAGGTTTCTCGTTGATTTGTAGCCCTCCAAGATACGACCGGTATCGAAACGTGAGGATATCTCTCCAATCCCCATAAATAAGAGTGTTTCCGATACCGGTCGAGCAAAGAAAGCATACCAGTTATCGGGATGTGAGAGTGACATTAAGTTACCATTCAGCAGGGCTCTGTGTCACCTCCTTAAGGTTTGTGAGCGTGTGCTATGTCGTGATTAGCAGACCATGGCTCATCCAGCATGATGTGCGCTGGCATTTCTCCGGCATCTGGTCCAGATCTGTTTAGTTTGTCTGAGGAATACGTAGGTGTTGAACCTGTGAAGTCTCCATTTGCTAGAAGGAAGGGAAGGGTATCAACAATTTAGAAGGTGTAAGTATCAAACAACCACAGGAAAATTATCTTAACTATGCAGATAAACAAGTTCTTCCGGGCGCTATAAACGTTAAAAGTACTCAGTATATTGCACAGTAGTCAGTCCATGCATAATTAGTATATGTAAAAATGTCCGAGCACAGGGCTGGGTTTTTTGTTTAACTTTGTAATTATGCCGATTGTACTCCTGTGAGGGGTAAAAAACGTGATTTTTTTCGGACGTAACAACGCCACCTGCTGTAGCCACTTGACCTAAATCCGCTCGGCCACACGTGCTCCGCCGACGGTCGCGCCCCCCCCCCACCCTGCAGATACATGAGCTTGCACTCTCCCCCCCGGCCCAACCTGTGTCGATGCAATATGGGCAGCTAGACAAACCACACACCCTGCAGCAAAAAATCACGCAACTTCTGGGCTCCACTTGAACTTACCCCACACTACCCACATGACAGTTCGACCATCGATTTCGATGATGTCCACCGTGTGCCCCACAGTTGCAGCAGCGGTGAGAGTAGGGACGGTGACTTGCGCAGGGGTTTATAGTGCCGGTAGACTAGCACTGCATCTACCTGCACTCTCTTCTCCTCCCTCGCTCGAGCCCGGTGTCAAGACAGAGTCAAGAAGACCGGAGACGAGGGAGGCCGTAGGTGGATGGCTCGGACGGATCCTCGCCTTGGCGTTCCACCACACCCCCTGGTCCACACAACAAATAACCAGGATTTCAACCAACACAAACGAGACTGGTGGCTGGCACGGCCGAAGCCGCACCTAGGCGTGCTGCCGACCCCTGGTTTGGATCCCACACTGTGGTGGGAGTGCCATAAATGCCACATTAAAAAGGAGCCACTGCAGCCTGACTCCCAGACCTCCCCCCAGTCGAGGAGGAGGTCCAAGTTATCCCGGCAGTTTGCAACCTTCCAAGCCACGGCTTGTAGCGCACCGCGATAGCTTCAAGCGCGTCAGATTGATTATAGTGAGGAGAAAATGCGCTGAGTCGTCGACCTCACTCTCCCTTCACATCCCCGCACCGCAGCCGCTGTCCGAGCCGGTCAGGAGACTGGAGTGGGGAATGGGCGCGGTGGTTGTCATGGTCAACTGACCATGACTGCGCGCGCCACGGCACGACCTGGTCCCACATACACACAACACCAGGATTTCACACAACAGGGGTTGAACGGCGTGTCTCTCACTTGCGTGAGAGTGCCGTGGAAGGTGCTGTTTCAGCCCGTCCCCAGCCCACCAGTCCGCCACTCCACACAACATACACACACACAACAGCACGAACTGCGTGGACCGAGTGGGGGCGTCAATCAGCAACCATCCTATCCAGGACGCTTGACGCGTCGGGATAGTCTCGGACTCAAGTCACCCGTGCAGCTGAAGCCGCATGGGGACCGAGTCGAGATGCACACTTCCCACTTGCGTGGGAGATGGCAGGTGGGTGCTTGCGGTGTGTGAGTGCTGATGTGTGGTGGTGGTGTTGGTGGTGGTGGTGGTGGTGGTGGTGGTGGTGGTGGTGGTGGAGGCAGGGAGGATGTTGTGGTGTGGTGTAGCCGCAGGTCTACCGCAGGTCGTCGTGGATGCGCACGTGGCCGGGTAGGCCCGTGCGATGCGTGAAAGTGCGAGGGCACTAGGATTCTCGTGCGCGGCGACTAGATGCAGTTAACACCAACCCCTCCACCCCCCGCCCAACTCGCATCATGGGACTGTCCCCCAGTGTCAGCTCAGTGTCGTGCAGCTCGGCTGACGGAAGTCTGGTTGCGGTCACGGCTACCGTGTTCTGCAGCTTCAGGTCTGCTTTGTTCACCACAGGATGAACTCAACTCCTTGAAAGTGGCAGAAAGACGCCAGCGAGGAACAGCAGACCAGCGTCAAGCACAACTCCGTCTTCAGCATTCATGCTGCGCTCTGAAGAACACATTCATTTGCGTGATAATGTTGTAAACGACGGTACGGCAAAAACCTTGGAAGACTAACGATTTTGCCATCAAACATATACCGCCAGTCGGAGACCGATTTAAACGCAGTATCCATTAACTTTTCGGAATGGTGCCGATGGATATCAATTCAACTTTAAGATGACAAATCCACCCCGCGGTGAGGAAACGCACATGATTACCAGCGCAATGAACTGCTATTCCTTTCGACTTTTAATTCGACAGAATGCAAGTAATTCCCTTTTGAAATTCTGTCAATTGCTTCATCACTGCATTGCGGATGTGTATGCAAAAATCGAAACAGAACGCCTGCTTTTCATTTGCTTGAATCAGACCAAGCTGCACTCTGGAGAATATATTCCTTTGCATGATGCAGTTGTAAACGACGGTAATACAACTAACGTTGTAAGACTACTGATTTTGTCATCCACATGCACAGACAGTCCACTCCATATGCTCGGGTACGCTCGAGGTGCAAATGTTTGTCAGTACGGACGTCCAGACCTTCCCAATAAATTTACACGCAAGCCAGTTTGGGGGGATATTTATTAGCTCTTACTTCCTGGGCTAACGACAGTGAATAGGTATGACATCACAGTACGTGTTTTCAGGAAGAAACCGAAGTCGCTGATGAACTTCATGGTGAAACAGAAGGTGTTTGGGTCTATGCGCTGCCGGATGTACCAGGAGGAATGGCAAGAGATGGGGACTGCCCCACGCATATGTCTGGATCTGGTTCTATAACAATATCACCTCCAACGAAATCGCCGATGCAATATGAATTACCTGACGCCGACCTCGACAACGATTTGCACGAAGTCGCGGCGAAGAATATGATAAATGGACCTTGCGGTGCACTGAATCCTAATTCTCTCCCCCCTCACTCCCCGCCCCCGGCATGATAGACGGAAAATGCTCTAAGACATATCCTAGGGCATTCGTATGTGCCACAGTTAACAGTAACGACGGAAATTTCTTATACTGAAACCGATCAGCGGAAGACGTCGGCAGATGGTCAACTGTACGAATGCGAACCGGTGACATACAAGTCGGTGACCGCTGGGCTGTTTCCTATTCGCCTTTGCTTTTAAAAGCAAACGAAGTTCTAATAAACGTGGTAAACTGCAATACTGGGAAATTAATTTGGTGCATTTGTAAGTACGTAAATAAAGGCAACGACATGGCTGTTTTCGGCCTGCAAAACGAAAGAAGAGGATGGGATGCGGACATACAGCTCGATGAAATCGCACAGTATTGGGCTGGAAGATGCATCAACAGCAACAAAGCCCTGTGGCGAATTCTTTCTTTTCCCATCCAGGAGCGAAGTCCAGGTGTTTTTAACTTGCAGTAACCTTAGTGAAGGAGCAATGCGTTTACTTTACCGATGCACATGCGCAACAGGCCACGGGCAACACGCATTAACTGCGTTCTTCCCGTTAAGCCAAACGGACGCGTTTGCGAAAACACTGCCGTATTTGGAAAGTCCTACGCATTACATATAGGATTCGTAGAGAAAATCATTCGAACGACGAAAACGAGGAGGGCGGGTCGCCGGACAACCCCGCATACTCAAAGGAACTGCGATAGGCAGACAGTACACCGTACATCCCAGTCAGGACGAATTCTTCTTTCTTCGCAGGCTGTTGGTAAATGTGGCTGGTCCAACGTCCTCCCAGCAACTGAGAATTGCCAGCGGCGTTACACATGCCACTTTCCGCAGTGAATAACAGGCTCTCAATTTAATGGGAAACGACCGACACTGGGATGTATGCATTAATGACGCGTGCAACACGTCCCATCCACGTTACATTCGAACATTGTTTGCTGTCATATTGGCCGCCTGCTCTCCTTTCTCTCCAACAGAATTATGGGAGAAATATGAAACGTACACGCCCACTTTGCGCGGTCATCCGCTAAAACTACGAGCAGGGAAAGCAAGGATCAATGGACGAAAGTTCTTTTTCAGTAACAGATTGGTTGCAGCGTGGAGTGCCCTGCCTACGGATGTTGTAACCTCCTCCTGTGTAAATTCCTTTTAGTGTAGACTTGACGCGTATCAAGCTTCCCAACTGCCAGCCTCACATCCCCTCACATAACCGGCACTAACTTATATGTGTTTATACTACTTGTAATTAGTAAGTAACCGTTAATGATTACTCTTCCTAGACTAGCTGTCGGCTGTCCGCGATTATGAACAACATCCTTTTTCACCTTCTCACATATCAATGTTTTTCTCCGACGGCTTGTAACCAATAGGGAGTTCAAAGACGTTCGCCTCTCTCCCTCTGCTCCAGATGCGACATTAAATGTCCCTTAATAATTCGTTCCCTGACCTTGCACACAATGTACGTAAAACTAATAGGACGGTAATTTTCGGGCTCCAGCCTGGATCCTCCTTTATAGACTGCAGAAAAATGACCGTTTTCCATTCCTCCGGCAGTTTGCCCTCCTTCGTTGACTTCTGAAATATCATTGACACCCACTCACACGGTATGTCAGCTAATCCGCGAAAGGCAAGTGGATAAATTCTCTCTGAGCCAGGTAATTTGGCAGGCTTCAGCCCTCGTAGTTCGGTCCTTATCAACGTGGGTGAGAAGGAAACATTATCTTCCAATGCAGGCGAGGAAGGATTTTGTATTTGGTCTACGTAAAGCATAGGAGGATTTGTGTCATGAGTGAATACCGACTGAAAGAAACTGGAGACGGCTGATGCTTTCAGGTGATCATCTGTCTCACTTACTCCGTCTTGGGATCTCAGTGCTGGAATCGGGTTGCGATTGCTCTTGCCACTGCGTATGTGACTATAGAGGATTTTAGGATGCTCCAAGGAGTTTTGTGATGTGCAGAACTCATAGTTTCTTCGAAGTCTATTAGCCTCGTGTTTACACACATTCCGCTGTGGCTTGTATTCCTTTAGGTTTTCAGGACTCTCTGTTTGTCAATAGCGTTTCCACACTTTATTTCTCTTCTTAAACGCAGTTTGCAGTTCCCGATCTATCCACGGCGAACGGTTGCTTGTTTTTTTACGTCTGAGTGAACAGTTTAAATTAACGATTCCTTTGGCCAGTGGGCTGAACGTGCTCGAGTAGTCGTTCACTGTTCCCTGCAATGTGGTTGTCCACGGTATTGTTGAGACTTGCGTTGGCGTGCTGGAAAAATCCCCATTCCAGATACTTGTTTGTAATTGCTCAGGTGAATCAGGTTGTGTGAACATAGAGTACTCGAAGAGCATCACAATATGATCACTAGCACCAATTGGAGGGAGATTTGTACATCAGCACACTCTCCTCATCTCGAGTGAGCACCAGTCCGAGGCAACCTGAACAGTGCCCTTCCCTAACACGTGTTCCGAAAGTTGCATTCTGAAAAAGTAGTTTTTCGGCTGCCAATCCAAGCAAATGTTGTCCGAATGTCCTGGACGGACCCGAAACCATCCATGCTAACTAGTCGATATTGGGGGTATTAAACTTCCCAAAAATAAGTACGTTTCTTTTCGAGCAGGTCTTGTTCAGTTACCTTAGGAGAAGTCTATCGCGTTCGGCAATCTGGTTTGGGGGCGCGATCCAACTACAAACGCCATCAGCCGGATGTATTTAGTGGAGATAGTTAAAGATAAGAATTTCACTTCCGCCGTTGTTGTAAGATTTTGCTCAGAGACCGCGGTCAGGTTGAAGCTAACATAGACAGCGACCCTTCCTCCTCGACTTGTCCTGTCTGTTCTAAGCAGTTGGTAGCCCCTGAGGGATACCTCATTATCTCCAATAGCCTCAGAAAACCATGTTTCTGTCCAGACGATTATATCTGGCGCGTGCTCGTCGATCATAGTCCTGAATTCATCCGTCTTGCGTTGGCTCTGCGCATTCGAATACAGCACCTTTAGAGTCCGTCTTCTCATAGGGAACCGACCCTGATTACAAAGAGGGTTAGGCAAAGGAACGATCGCTTGATTAGTATTATCTTGCCTTCTTTTATTTTCAACCCCTTCTCCCCCTCTCCTGTCCTCCTTTTCAGTTCTGTCCAGAGCTCCCTCATCTTGTGTCTTTCTGTCGGTTCGTAAGCCGGCTAAATAAACACCTCCTTATGCGAATGACGAAGCGCCATCCTCCCTTATTGGAGATGGGAAACCTGGGCTTCATTTGCAAAGACGATTTTGAGAGGCCACACTCGACGCATCGCGTTTCCTAGGTGGAAGGCTTTGTGCACGGTACCACATTCTCCGTCCTGAAGGATGGCATTTGCATATGTTCGATTCTTTCTTTTGTAATCGAAGAAGTGGACTCAGAAGCTTCCTTTTTGATGATATTTCGTTTTTGGCCTAGATGTCTGTTTGGTAGAGAGGCCCGGCGTTTATTTTTACACGCGCGGTCAGCATCCCATCAATTTCCGCTATCGTTGTTTTATTCAGAGACAGCTGTCATGGCATAGCGACCACAGTGTTTCTCACCCACCGAGGCTTCTTGGTCGGACGATGCATCCTTCGGCAGTGTGGTACCTGCTGGCATTGTGTGTGCACTCTGCCCTCTCAGACGAACAGTCTGACCTGCTTTTTCTTTTCGGGATGTCTTGGGGCGCTTCTGCGTTTCCTGGGATCCCTCTTTGTCGTTCATTTCTTGCAAAAGAGGTCGGTTCTCAGTTTTGATAGCTTCCTTAGACGGGCTGTCTTTTTCCTTGGCGGCTGATCCAGTTAATGAGACTGTGCTGGGAGAGGATTGCCATTCTTAGCTTGGCGGAAGGTGCCTTGCAAATGTGACCGAGCAAAAAGATCTTGGGATCAACATTTTTCGACTCTTAGGCCTTCCTCCCTATGCGTTAGGGCGGCCATAAAGGCAACCAGTGTTCTCTTTGCAATTAAACGAACTTTCATAAATATAGACAAAGAGTTATTTGGAAAAGTATACGGAGCGTTCATTTGTTAGAATCAGGAATGTGGAATCCAAACGTGGCGCCCGTGGTTAAAAAAGCCTATAAGTTGATAGAAAGAGTTCAGAGGAGAGCGACAAAATTGTGAAGGGCCTCAGGACTTTACCTTACAACTCCAGAGTTAGTGGACGTAAACTATTTCCTCTTGAGTACAGGCAGATTCGAGGAGATCTCATTCAGGCGTATCAGACGTTGAGGAACCGGGACTGTGCCCTAAACGTAGACGATTTCTTCACCCTGGCCACAACAACAAACCTGCGTGGGAACTCTTTAAAACTTAGAGGATCCCAATGCCGTCTGGACGTTCGCAGATACTCTTTTTCTCAGCGAGTCGTCGGTGACGGGAACGGGCTTTCCGAGGTCCTGATAATGGCGGACTCCACGGAGACATTCAAGGAAAGACTAGATGTATATTTGCTTGGAAAATACCGCTTGTCTGGATAGAACAGCTGATCGGTTCGAGCAGGAACCCGAAACGTCAGGCAAGAAAGCTCTTGTCCCAGCGATCGTGTCTCCTTCTTCAAGACTAATTCCTGGGATTCGTGTCTTCGCTTCTATTGGCATTCTATTCCCCAGGACCCGGCGATCGAGACAATGGAGCTGCTTTTACAAAGCAAATACGATGAAACGGAGAATCCTCTTAGACATGCCCAAATCCTTCAGCTCCTGAAGCTCTGTCTCAGGACCTACTTCACGTTCGACGGGACAATCTACAAAAAGGTGAAGGGCACACCAATGGGTTCGTCGATTTCGGGATTCATCTCCGAGGCGGTTCTGCAACGGTTAGAGTCGCTGGTATTCCAACACCACAAACCGAAGTTCTGGCCCGTTATATGGATGATATCTTCGTCGTCATCGAACGGAATCAGGTGCTGACATTCCAAGAACATCTCAACGTCGTCTTCCCGGACATTCGTTTCACGATGGAGGAGAAATAGAACAACCCGCTAGATTTCCCGGATGTCCTCTTATGCTGCAAAGATTGTGGTGGAATAAAGACTAAAGTGTTCAGGAAAGCGACAAATACGATACAAGTGCTGAACTTCAACAGTAACCACCCAATCAGCCACAAACGCATTTGTGTAAGGACGCTCTATTGGTTTGTCGAAACGCACTGCAGTGAGCCGGAAGACAAAATTGCGAACTACAATACCTCCGACAGGTATTCAAAGCCAATGGCTACCCGAGCAACTTTGTCAACCGGTGCATACGCAAAAGGGACGGAAGGTCTAACCGCACGGACACCAAATCTTGGCGGGCGCTTCCGTATGTCTAGAACATTTCGGAAGCTGTCGGGCGCCTTCTCGCACCACTTGGGGTTGGAGTGGCACACAGACCGGAGGCAACCGTCAGGCGTCCGGTCATGAAACCGAAAGACCCACTGCCACGGCTAGAAACGTCTGGAGTCGTTTATCGGATCTGGTGTAGTTGCGGACAAAGCAACTACGTCGGAGAATCCGGTAGACAGCTCCGAACGAGAATAACCGAACACGCTGCAACGATGCGGCGAAATGACGCCAGCTCTCAAGTTGCGGCTCATTCGACGAGATCCGGCCACACATTCAAATTCGACGAGACCGAAATTCTCGCAAGAGGTGACAACCGAGTGAGCCCGGAGCTACTGGAATCATGGTTTACTGGCCCCCAGTCCATCAACAAGTGCAACGATCTTCCCATTCAATACAGCGTGCTGAGACTTTGTCTAGGCGGAGTAATTTGCCACGCGGGGAGCGCACTGGTGAACACTCCTCCCAACACCCGGGTCAACGCGTCAGATGGTCGAGCAATCATCACATTAACATCCAAATCACGTGATGAAATTGCAGCAATTAACGACGCGAACGTCAGCGATCAAGCCATTAACACACCACGTGCAAGGATCCCGGACGAAGGGGGGGGGCCGTTAATAGGAATGCGGTAGCATGTCGACTGCATCCTACTAATACTGCAACCCCTTGTGTATGAACCACCCGTATCTGCTTTTGTCTCTGATGATGGATTCGAGTAGGAATCCGAAACGTCAGGCTAGCAAACCTCTTGTTCCAGTGATCCTGTCTCCTTCTTCAATAGAACTGCTCTGTTGTACCAAAACAACACATTGCATACACCTGCCGCTAATGCGGATGATTGTCATTTCATCCGATATCATCTACAACTGAATGTAGTCGAGTTTCGGTCCTGCAGCTCCAACGAGGAATATTATGTTGAGTGTATATATTACTGACGACATTTTAGTAGCACGTTTTTTTCAAAGTTATATATTGCGCTGCCGTTTTCAATAGGGTTTTCGAAGGCATTGTCTATTACCCTTAAAATATACTGACCTATATAATGACCTAATTTGAACGTTGAAGAGTGTGAAAGGAGCACAAACGCTTAAAATAATAAATAAAGACACTTCGATGTGAATAAGAACAGAATAACACCTATGCTTATTAATAAGAATGTAAAAGGAGTCCGAAATGGGGAATGGTCGCCGTCGCAACCCACAGGAACTGATTTGTGATTATTAAATAAGAGACCATTTCCCGTCGACCATGCTGAAACATGTTCGAAATCTTCCACCAGGAAGTCTAGATGAAATACATTTAAGATGGGCGGCTGACAACCATATTATCGGCGTACTTAACCTGTAGGCGGTCGTTGAGCAATCAATCCCCAAGCCCAGAAGGAAAAAATACAGAAAGAAAAGTAAACTGCAAGTCAGGAAACAATGCAGCAAAGAGTACTGATACGTTTTCTTTCGGAAGTGTTGACGCAGAACAACTTTAAGGAGGGATGAGTGATCAAGAAGTGCACATGCGTACGAACGGCAATCCTGTAGGTCGCAGATCTTTTAGGGGACCCCAAGAGTAGCAGCGCGAAATACTTGGTCGATTGTGGGCCAGAGAGACATGTTATCCATCCGGCAGCGAGTGATTTGCGGTGTGTTGTGTTCGTGCGTCTGACACTTGTCTATCATTACGCGAAGGTGATTGACTAGATCGTTCTTCTGTGGGCTCTGTGGTTGGCTGGTTTGCTGAGTGTGAGGACGGTATGATCTGGAGACATCAGGGGTGACAATCCGCACAGGTTGAGGTGCATCAAGTGACGCCTGCTTGTGGGCGCTGCTGTAACTACGCGCAACTGGACAAGGGGGTCCTCAGGTGAAGCCGCGGGGCTGACGGTATATTAGCAGCATCCCTGCACCTCAATTGGGTTGTCGCGCTCGTCTACTGACAGCCCAACGCCGGAACGACTGCTACACTCCATGCAAACTGCCCATCAGCAGGAGATGCAAGGTCAAATACCGATCGTCTTTTAATCAAACCCCACTAAATGAAAAAAGTCTGGCTTTTCAGCACAAAATGTAGTGTAATTTCAATAATGACTTTCAATTTAGGGAAATAATCTTACGATTCTCAGCCAAATCACATGAATGGGGACATTATGCTGGCCAAACCGGACGATGTCTTAGCTCGCGAATACACGAGCACAAACGGGATGTTCGGAGAGGTGACCCGCTCTCTGAAGCCTCCCCTCACGCGCTTGAGGAAGGCCGTGAGTTGGGCTTCGCAAGCATGCGGATGCTGGCGCGGGCCAGCAACAACGCGGGGCGGAAAATGTTGGAGGCGTGGGTGTCAGACACAAACTCCATCAACAGATATATTGACGTATCCCCTGCTATCACGTGCTACGCCCACGCAGTCAGGTAGCATGGCCCGCATCGCCGCCAAGGCCAAACGCCGTCACCTGGGCCAGGTGGCACGAACCAGATCCAGACATGGGCGCAACGTCCTCCCCCCCCCAACCCCACGGTACGACTGTCTAATTATTCACACGTTATTACAGTCCAACAGACACTGATGATGAACTCCTGTTAATGTTAGAAAGCTCGGGCTAAGAAAGCCACCGTGCCAGCGATCACACCTTTGTCTTCCTTTCATGAGTATAGATATCGTAAGCCTACGCTATGATGTTGTTAGACATGCCGAGTACTTTGTGTGCCGAATACATGGGACGGTGTAATATTCAAGGTTCGCAAGGGGATATTTAACCAAGTCGAAGAATTGGGTATGCAGGTGATGTTATATTCGCAAAGGGTGCATAGAAATGAATTGGGGCCCCATAAGTTGCTTGAGCAAATTTGAAATGTTGCACTCGTATTTGACATTTGCTGAATGATCACTACATAGGCTTATCGATTACTGTCAGTTTTCTTACGACGGACACATGAATTGTCTGACTTGATACCCAACCAGTTTTTGTCCCTGGCCGAGGAATTCAAATTCGAAATCAGCATGCCCAGTTCCAACCAGTTTTTTGGCCAGGCCTTCTTATTTTCCACGCCGTGTTTGTCATTTCACGGAACGTCCAATTGCTCGAGATGTGCCGAAGCTATTTGGAGCACGATCACACCCAGATTACGATGGTACCAAGCCGATATTGACCCAAAAATGCATAGCCGTTCGATTAGGGTGTCCCGGCATTCCTGGCGACTTATAGTGTTTCGGCGTTAAAGAACGCTCATCTTCCTACAAAGGCGTTTGCCTATTTTTCGCTTAATAAAACTCAATTGAACCTAAGTCGAAAAGCAGCGTGCAAAACGCCAACGAAATTACCAATTTTTACCTACTGAACATTGACAGCGTATGGCCTTCTGACGATAGTAAGTGCACTCAAAAAATAAGAGCGATCATTTGTGTCAGGCTAATTTGTTGAATTCCGCTATCCCTAGAGATTTAAAGTGTGCCACATTTATTTGACACCTCCCCTATGCTATATGTTCCAATGGCTCTAGTTCATCCTTCTTTATCTACAGGTGAGGAGGTCAATTTCCTCTGTCCTTTGAGGCATGTAGCTAGCAACATCCTCTCAATTTCAATGGGAAATATCTTTTCGTGAACTTTACAAACCTTCGTGTCAGAGCAGTTCGAGCCAGTGTCATCCGCTACGTAGACTGCCATAGGCACACATCGACCCAGTATTTTCAGGGCACCAGAGAGCTACCTCAGTCTTCTCCCATATCCTCCGAAACGCCTGCTATCGCATTTCAAAATACTTCAGCCAGGTCAGTAATGTTAGGAAGGAAAGTGAATTGCACCAATCGTCACTCGCCTATTCACGAAGCGATGTTTTCGCGTAATATGTATGCTTGGCGCAGTTGCCTATTCGAGGTAGTGGAAAAATGACTGGCGAGTTGCAGGGTTATCGCAGCATGCAGGCATCGCAAAGGTAGGCGTTCAAATCAGCGGTGATAACAATTTAGTTTTTTTCGAAAGGCATCAGCCAGAAAATAGTTTTGGTTTTTCAGGGCCTCGCTTTGCCTACGCATATCGTCAGGGAATTGACCAACGAGGAAATCAAAAATAAGGAGATGGGGAAAGGTGCATTGTCAAAACTGTTTTTTTGACTTCTTGCTTTCTTTGAATATTTTTGGTCTCATAATACCGCTGTAGTGTACGCAGGTAAAAGTGAAAAGCGATTTCGAGGATGCAGTCCAGAAGAAGAATCGGTCGCAGGAACAAATAGATTGTTTGCCTGATGCTTCGAATTCTCATTCGAAATCACCATCAGATACAGTCGGAGCTACGAAAAATGATGGCTCAAGGACCGTTGCATTTATAAACCGCATTTTCTATGCGACTGTTGTTAATTATGGTCAGCATGTAATGGCGCGGCAAATGCTGTCTATAAACAGCGCACTCTTTATGACCTCACTACCCATATATGTCGCTATCCCTGGTGATGTGTTCGAATATACCTCCGAAACGTTTTAGATTACGTTTGATCTTAACACTCTATGTTGTCTACTGAGAACGTTTTCATCAATGCTGCATTGCGACTAGTGAATACCACCTATCTTCATAGCTCACGTGTACCAAAGACGTGCGAACTCTTGTCCCAGGTCGTAGAAATTTTGAAAATGTTCACAGCCATGCATCTACATTACCGATTACTTTGTACTAAATGAGGCTTACCGATTACCACATGATTTCAGTGGTCAACCGGCGTAATATTATAAAAATAATTTTCACTGGTTTAGCAAATGATAACCATAGTCAAGCTGTTGATTCTACAGCCGTCAACTGAACAAGACCAATGTGGATTTTGGGAATGTGCGTTGGATCTCTGACTTACGACGGTTTCCTTTAAAAATGAAACAGTGTATGTGGTAATTTGGTTTGGTGCGAAAGGAGTTAGCACTATTTGCCGCCAATCGGAGTGTATTTTAATTTGCGATTAATTTTAACGATGGGACTAAAATATCTTCTACAGGAAATAATGAAACCGCATATCGATGTGCTTGGCAAGACATGCATAAAAGTGGCCGGTAGGTCTGAAATATATGCCCCACTAGACAGAACATGGGAATAGGAACTCATGGCCAAGTATAAAGACGGACCTGCACATAATTCCGGAAAGGTCAAATATTCCCATGTCCTAACAACAAAAACCCCAATATAAACTAAACTTTTGCCGCGATGTTAATCCTAACATTTACTCTGTGGTTGACACTATCTAATGCCAAAACGTCAAACACGATCCTGAGTCAGGTCACCGTTAACTTCAAATCCAGCCCTAAATCTATTTCGTAACTCAACCCTAAACTTGATCTTCAACATAAACCTACTTTCACTGTAAGATGCCTCAAAACCACCCGTATTGCATGCGGTTCCTATCCCCGTATCCTGTTTGGGGGACACAAAAGCCATCCATACCCAAAGACCCGCCAGTTTGCACGTGATAGCTTATAGTTACGTCGTCTGTGGCGTCTCGGAAATGTCAGATACCATTATACCGCACCTGACAGATACCTTCGGTTGTCGACAATGTTTGCCGGGCGCAGGAATATCCTGCCACTGGATTCTTGCCAATCGATGAAACGACGTTTGCGCACTGGTCTCCTTTTGACTTCTGTGAGGCTGGGATCGTCGACGAGCACTCACAACTCTCCCATCCTAACTTGTACGAGGGTTAGATTGTTGCACGAAATATCACTTATCACGTTCTGTCTCCTCATGTTGTTTTTTCGGAAACCATTATTCTCCCCCATAGCACACTACCGACCTTTTGATCCAAAGCACACTGATTCCGTGTGTTTGAGTCGCGTGTGCAAATTTCGTACAATACGTCAATCCATCGATGACGCACAATTTTCGTCGGTTACAATGACGTCCGTCTTCATCGTTTCTGTCCAATTCCAGTAAGGGATTTTTTAATACCTTTAAATTGCCGTTCATATAACGTCATGTATTTGCATTTACGAATGTGGCTTGTAAAGTTAACAATATGCTCAAATGCACTGCTTAATTTTATGAACCTTATATGATCTCTTCTTAACACCGTAGAGAAATGCATGGTTTTCCGTACACGGAAAATATACAGCTTGTGGTTTTGAAACCCTGAATTCAAGTGTAACAGCAGGTCGGGTTCAAAATTATTCGGGAATTACAAAACTTTTTTAAAACCGAATTATACTCCTCTTTTGACTGTGAAATTGGAACAAGACGTGATTGTCTACCGAATATGTGAAAAAATAATTATTTTTATGCATGTTTTCCATAAAAAGTAATTGAATTTTCAAGGGCATGGAAAATCAATAAGAAAATTGTATGCTACTTAAGTAGTCATTTTTTGGTAGAGAATGGATTTTGCATGCAGCCAAAAGTAAGTTCATTCGAAAGCCGACACCCTGAGGTAATTGGATCATTATAGATTTATGCTGCATCATGATTAGTTTTACAACACTACTTAATTTATCTTTTCGAAACGAGAACGCATTTCAAAATTTTGGTTGACATTTCATGAGTTAGCACATCTACTGTATAACTAGACATTTCTGACTGCCCCTTTTCGCCATACATTTGGGTCATTCTAACTGGGCATTCCAGTGGTTTGGTATTGCTAAATTGAACGCTCATGATGATTAAAGAGAGGCCTAGCGTATTGGCGTGAACAATTTTCTTTCAACGACGGTTGATAAGCCAGGGATGAGATTGCTGATTTATAAATTTAATTTGTCCGACGTTTTAGCTTTCCAATTTAAACCATAAGGGCTGTGGACCCACAGGGAGTAGCTGGATGGGAACTAATCCCAGACACAGAACCAGGAAGAAGCATGGCTTAGCAACAACGGCAATAGCCAAAATCGGTAAGGGAATTGCGCCACATATCGCTGCAGATATGATGCAGAAATTAATTATCACACAAAGAAGAAAAATGTGTGATGGGTGAGGGTGCTTCTTACTATGAAATGTGCATAATAGCACGGGAGTGCATCCTGCTCATACTACGTTCCATGATAGTTCATCACTTTTATGTGTGACTTACCCTGCAGACAGAATCGAGTCGAATCAGGAAAGTGCGGATAAATAACATTCTTCTTCCGACAATGGAGTCTCCCACTACTAAACCACTTCGGGAACTCGCCCTTTCGGTTGTATCTTCAAATACCACTACTGCTGTTGGTGTTCCACAATGTGCTGACGTAGATATTCACGCACTGCAGCAATTATTTGACGCAGCAACACGAGTTAAGGGTTAGGGTAGGGTTAGGGTCAAAATTTGGGGAACGCTTCATTTTTGTTGTTGCTTTTGGGACGCAGGAATATTTTGCAATTTAAACCATAATCAGAGATAGATAAGCATAATAGTTATGGACCCACATGGACTGGCTGGATGGACACTAATCCCAGGTACAGCACTCTCGGAGAAACATAGCTCAACAGTCACAGCAGCAGCCAAAATCGTCGAAAAAATCGCGCCGATTAACGCCTCAGACATGATTCTGTTAGAAATTGCCCCCAAAAGAATGACCAACTAAAAGAGGTGAGTAATGGCACGGAACTGTATCCTGCGGTCCACGATGGTTCATCGCTTTTAACTGTGGCACACCCTGCCGATAGCTCTGAGTAAAAAATTGGAATGTCGGGTGAGTGAAATTCTTGTTCCAACTGCTTCCGATAACTTACCCTTTCGGTTGTGCGATAAAATGCCACTACTGATATCGATGTTCTGCAACGCCTTGGCATAGACATTTACACACTACAGAAATCGACATATTCAGCAACGCGTGTCCATCACCGAAGTACTGCAAATGATCCGAACCCCTCTTTGTTATCCAGAAAAACAGAATTTATCTCCGTATATGTGAACCAGAGGCCAAAGTTACTCGACCTCGGAGGCACATAGATTCTTCCAGTGGGTTAAGGTATCGGCACTGATCAGGCCGAATTCTAAATAGATTATCATTAAAAACTTTAGCCACCTCATGTTAAATCCTTCCTAAGCGTCTCCGGTCCGAGGACTCGAACTCGACGTCTTTTATGGGTTAATTAATTTAGGCTATTTTCTTTTATTCAATATTTTTTTTATTTAATATCCAAGACAAAAAATCAGACATGTATTTTACGTGCTTACAAAGCCATATGTCAAGGTAATGTGTGGAGTGTAATTATGAATGCTCTGACAGTTTTCCTTTCTACGGCGATCGACGCAAATGCCGGTTTATCTTACCGGAGTCAGGCGAAAACTGGAGTGAAGGAAACAGTCACACCCAAGGGTCTCGTGAGAACTTCACCAAATGTCGGTTGGCTCGTAAAAAAACAGACGACGGAATCTGTGCAGCGTGGTTTTGCCTCTTTTTCTCTTTTTAGAGATCTGATCAATAGGAGCACTGCAAATGGCATGCTGAAGAGGTCAAAAGCCTATTTTCGGTTGTTTTCACCATCATGCTCTGCGACTAACGTCATTGTATCGTACAAGCGCAAATCTTTGTTAAACGTTAAATTCAGACTGAAACGCTCTAAAAAGCCGATTACTTCACCCTAATATTGTTACGTGTCTGAACACAGATGTGACAGGCATAGCGTAGCAATGATTTCTCCACCATTGCTTATGGGCTTTCCGGAATATTACCTCATAATTAAACAGGGAACTATCCTCCACGAAACTCGTCAGGTTCGATCCAAAGGTGGATGGCAGAATTTGTGGTGCCGTGTTTGGGGGGGTGGAGAGGGTTTGGGACTCACCGATGAGCATAACTCCTTGCAGCTGCATAGTGCAACACCTCAAATCAACGAAAGTCTATCACTGTTCGAAGAATGGAAAATTAATTTAAATTGGAATACCAGATATAGTTTTTCTAGCAACCGGTTAAGTCGCATGGACTTTTTTCGAAAATTCTCGACAAACTCGACTCATTCGGCGACCTGTCATGTATGACATATTATCCGGCAAAATTTCATTTTCCCTTTAATAGCCTCATTCAATATTTTCTTTGGATGGCCAGCAACGCTAGCCCTTAATTTTTGCTTAAATTAACCTGCTACCTCTCCACCAATTATGCTAACATCCTGTAGGGACTTACGAAGGTGCAATGCAAATTTTGTGGCAACAAATATATTTACCATCCTGATAGGCCTAAATGAGCAGAACTGATTTATGTGAACGTCTAAGAAGGGCATAAGAACTGGAACCGTTAAAACATGAGTGGCTTCGAGCCAACGTTCAGTAAAATTTAGGTTGGGTTTAAAATAAGTGTTATGGTCAATTTAAGAATTAGGTTTATGGTTTGATTTAAAGTTAACGGCAGCGTAAGTCATAATCAAGTTTAGGGTTAGATAAGGATATAGTGTAAACTGAGGAGTTAAGAGTTAGGCAGGGTTAGAATCTAGATTAAAGCAACGGTCAACTTTTATCCCAGCGTTATTGTTATTGTTGGACACTGGAGTATTTTGCGTTTTTTAGAATTATGCGCAGGTCCGCCTTTATTATTTGGCGGGGCATTCCAATTTTCACGTCCTGTTCAGGCGTCCACATACAGTGAGTGACCGATCGCATGAAATGTTGGCCAGAATTTTGAAATGGGTTTTCTATTAGAAAGGAAAACTTAGGTGGGGTTGTAATATTGATGATCCCGCAGCACAATCCTATAGTATTTAGGATTCGGCAACATGTCGGCTATTGAATGCACTTCTTTTTATTCTCCTGTAGAAACTGTACTCGGTAAAAATGATTGCTTAATTAGCATGCATTTTTCACATTGACCTTCGATGATTTATTGATTAAAATATCGTTTATAAAAAACATGAACAAACATATTCTTTCCTTCAATCTTTTGACAGAAAACCAAGCCAAATTTATACTTCGTATCCAAAGAAAAAGCATTGTTAGGTTTTAAAAAAGTTTCTAATTATGAGATTGTTTAAGGCCGTGCAGTGTTCCTTCATACAGCATCGTACCTCTCCGTTTACCACTGCTCCTCCTTAAATGTAAAACATAGTCCGCATCCCTTGTCAAATCTTATGGACTCTATATGTCATCTTTGTAAAGGCATGAAACCAGATATAATTTTCCTTACGTGGAACGCATGTGCCCTGTTGACTGAAAGCACTAGGCCGCTAATTCAACGGCTAATTCGGCTTCAAATTATTTGGGAATTAAAAAAAAACTTTTTAAAACCTGACAGCACTCTTTCCTTGAGTACGAAATATAAAGATGACGCGATTCACTGTCAAACGACTGAAAGAGATCAAAATTTTGTATATTTTATTTTTTAAGACCATCCAACATCAGTCGGAAAAATGCACGCTACTGATGTAGTCATTTTTCGCCGAGTATGGTTTCTACAGGAGATGGAAAAGCTGTGTTCAAAAGCTGACATCATGTTGAGTCTGAAATGTTATAGGGTTATGCCGCGAGATAATCAGTATTACAATTACGCCTGAGTAATTCTTATTCATTCAAAACGCATTTCGGAATTTCAGCGACATTTCATGAGATCGGTCACTCACTGTAACTCAGCCACGACTCTTTCACTTTATCATTTGTCATCTTTAACGTCTTGTTCTCCCTTTATACAAATTTACATTCAGATAGGAGTAAATACACAGGCACTGTGCGTTGTCAAATTAAAAAACAGGTTCACAGGCAGGGGTAATATACGGGGCTTAGTGAGACAGCAGGGTGTGTGTTTGGGAAGAATGCCTCAAAAACGGCGAATATTAAGTAAGCGCTTATTTCACCACCTGAAATGCCTACATAAAAATCAGTTTACGAGTTATTTTTTAAGTAATACTAAGGACACAGTAGAAAATAAACACATAGTGAAAAGCAGCAACATTTACACAACGCGTTGGAGACAGAAGTCTTGCATTCTGTCTGCAAGCGACTTTAGACTTCCATGTTGCGTCATAATTAGGGTTGCTGATTAAAAATAAACAATTGCGAGGAAAATTGAGCAAGTATCTTGCGACCCCCACATCCTGCCTTCTTTCTATATATTCGTGCTGGCTATGAAACAATTCGCAGCAAAATGTATCAAGCTAAGAGGTTTTTTGTATTACGTGGGAAGTAGGGCTCTTTCCAGCCAATTCAAATCATTGTAAAGTCAGACTGTCTAATCAAAAATTGCTTTGTCAGCCATCTCGATTTCTGTACTAAGTGCGTGCGAATCTTGGAGAAATATAAAAGCAAACCAGACAACGTTTAACACCTCGGCAAAATGAGAATTCTGGACCTCGCACTTTCTATATATTGCGTGATTGGTATGTTTCGTGAATAATAGAGATTGTTTAAATAAGTAAGACAGGCATGTAGGTTTTGAAATACTATGTACAGTGCAATTGTCATATCAAATTAGCTATCTATTACCGGATTATTTTTTTAGGTACAGCTTCTGCCGAAACATCCAAAATACCATTATCGAACGGACTCGAAGATAATGTCATCACCTCAGTCGACTTGCGACAATGGGTGGTCGTAAACCTCCCCGAGCAACTTTTGGTAGTGCTAATTTTCAGAAGCATACTCATAAACACTTAAGACAATATGTTGTGAAGAGGCTATTATTATAATATTTGTCTTTTATTATGTAGTTAAGTAAAGTTTTGGTGGACAAATGCGACCATGTAACACTTTAACGCTGTCTTTTCATCAAAGTACCAAATACCATATATGACGATACCGCTTTCCACAGATAAGTTTTCGGCTAATTTACCTAGTATTAAAACTGTTATGGTTGTTTGAAGTCATTGTGCAAATTCGGACAATTATACCATGTAATGTGTCAAGGGGGAGTTTTCATTGCTTGGTTTTTATTACATTTCGTCGTTCCTTCCATCCGTTATTTTTCGCTATCAGAGGAATAGTATATTTAAATTTAGAGCATTGATTTGGATGATCTACATCTTTTCTGTAATAATGGGTCATGCAAGGCCAAAAACAACGAAACTATTGAAGCTACATACGTTCAGATAAAAGGTATGTGGTTTGTTTAATAATTACTTTGATTTCTCTTGAAAAAACAAACTTTATTCTTCACGCAGTATTCTGTGCTGATTAAGACGGCAAACAATAAGAGTAAACAGATTAATAAAGGACGTCAGTTGAAACAATTATTCGTACAAAATAACCCAGTTACATAAAATAAAATCGAGTTTTCTTTGCGAATTGACTGGTTACACTGCGATTGTTGGACATTTACATTCCAGTGAGCCAGACTTTCCCAATTCCCAGTGTGTTCAATCATTCTTCAAGACTTTTTTCCGCATTCTTAATCGTGCTCATGGAGTTATATGCGAAAATGAAATGATGGTAGTAGGCTAGGAAACGTACAGCAGGCTAACTGTTAGAGAGCATTCTTGATGGTCAGGTCATTAATGGCAGGAATGAAATTAGATAACCAGCTTGGGAGGCCTAGAAAGCAGGAGAGACCGGGAAAAATCGCATAAAACTGCTTCGACGAAGCCAGTTGTGAAAAGTGACTAAGGGTATGGAATACTACCTAGAGAGAATCTTTAAGGTTTGGAGGAGGGAGGAAACTTACGAGGTAGGACGTGCTCGCAGTCACAGTTGAAGCCAGTCATTCATTTCAAATTTGCAAATACCTTTCTGTAATGGCGACGCGGGCAGAGGGCAGCACTCGAGCAAAAGAGATGAGTAATCGAAGGTGTATCCGATTAATACCAGGCTCTTTGTAATTGACTTCCTTTGATTCGTTTCCCAATTCGATCTATCAACCTTTCTGAGGTGTCATTGGATTTTTAAAAACATGCATCCCTATGCAACCTCTGAGCTTTGAAAAACCTTGGTAAAATGTGTTTAATTGTTTTAGCTGGGATGATAGTTATACTGATTAGAAAAAAGAGGGTCAATGGAAGTTTATGTTAATTCAATCTTGATAGGATGTCTTCGCACCCCAGAGACAACGTGTTTTGAGTTAAATAGGAGACTTACGGTCATCTCGAAATCGCCATTTCCGCTAATAATACTTTGATGGGTGATTACATCATTTGATATATTTATCATACTTATAATGCTCTCGGTTGTCTCGGAGAAACATATCTTGTCGTCCTGTTGGCGAAATGGACTTTATTTGGGAAAATCAAACGAATACGAACTGAAGTGTCGTGTTCTAATGACCGGTAAAGTACTAACAAAAAGTGAAGACTGCATTTTTGAACTCGGTTTCCATTGAATGAACCATCACTGGGATCCGCCATCTTTCGTAGGCCGTAACGTCTGGCAAAGCCACTCTATTGTTTTTCCGTCATCAGAAATGAGCGCCAGATACGAATGTAATAATTTCATTACAACGATCGATACCTCAGCGTTAGATGATAACACACTAGCAGCACACGTGTTTCGCCGATATTTTTCCGCTGCTTGGCATAGCTGCAAGGGGTTCGGCCCATCGGTGAATCCCACAGCATTCTCCGTGTGCATTTCTTGTAGATACTTTAGTTAAATACGTGGTTATTTCGTTGTGCCCAACTGATTACGGCTCATATATCTTTAGAAAATCCCAGTCTGGGCCTAGAGGTCTCAAACGCATTGATCTAATCTAACTTAACGATGAATTTCCAAAGAAATTTAATAACCACAAGGTCAAAAGCGCTCGGGAAATCTAGGGGTCCACTGACGATCCGAACCTCTCGCAGCTGTGCGATGCAGCGGCGGAATATCAACGAAACACATTTCTGGGCTTTTACCTAGTACCTGTACCGTTACTTCCTGAAGAAACTAAAAAGCGACAGTCACTATCTTGTAATATATCAATCAATACATGATATTTAAGCATCAAAAATCAAATCCGGTGTTTTACAAATAGACAGACCACTCTTGAAAAGTACCTGTCATGAGCGTGTTTAGCGGGATAATCTCACGAAATTACGTATGCTTATACAGAAAAACTACTCATAGAACTGTCCATAGCAAGGTGGCATCGTGATTTGAACAGCAGCCTTACCGTGAAAAAAGGTTTTGATTTCATTTAACTTTTAGATATAGAATCCCGCATTGTAGCAACGCGTTTCCCACTTATACGTATAGCCGTGCAAAACCTGTGGGACCAGTTAATACTGTCAACGTTTTTCGGTCACTTAACGAAAGCAGAACTGCCCTTCTATTTATATGCACCCAGATTCTGATGGGATGAATTAGATAAAATAACCAGTGATCAGGCCTGTTTATTTCAGCGGAGACGGCACTGAATACAATAAAAGGGCGGTTAACTGAATATTGGGCAGCTCTTATAGACTGGGGCTATGTAATACTAACAGTTTCAAATAGATGGCCTCTTTGTATCCCTTTGAACAATCTTTCTACAAGACATTCACTCTCTTGGCTCCTATTGAGTGTACATCTTATGAAAATATTTGCTGGGAATCGTATATTACCTAGGCGAAAAGTTCATTTTCCATAAGATACTTTTTCAGTTCTCGAATTTAAGACATCGTTAAAAGTTAAGAAAACCTTCACTCTAGAAGTGCATGTTTTCATCATGAGATGGCTCAGCTCAAACTAGGGTGTTTAGAATCTATTAGAATTTCACTCGCGTTTTGAGATAACCCTTCAGTAGCCCAAGAAGGCACTTTGTAGACTCGAAATCGCTATCATCAGTGGGTTATCTTAGAATATTTTGGTTTATAAAATTTTTAGATGGAGGTCACTATCAAGTGAGTGCACAATTCGGCGACCTTAATCTCACGAACTACTTTCGAATTGGGTGGGAGATAGAGGAGTTCGGAAGACCCGGACGGAAGACACTGCTTACACAATTTATTGTACCCGCTAATATCTGGCCTGTTAACAACAAAAGTGAGTGATATTTGAGTGAAGTTAAGTAGAAAACAAACCTTTTATTTTCTGAGATCTTACAAACAACAACAGTCTTTAATTGCAGGTTGTATTCAACCGCGATATTCTCTACCACTCTTCCGATCTGTCAATGAAAGTTCTCAGATAACAGTGCGGTGCACTATCCGGAAATCGATGTGTCTTGAAAATGAAAGCGTATGTTGTGCCTACCAATCTGTGAATGTGTCATGCAGTTGGATTGGATTAGTTATAAAACATTTTTTTTATTTTCAGATTGTAATTTTTGACTTGAACAAGGACTTCTGCGTATACAACGAGACCGTCAAAACGTGCAGTGAGTGCTTGATCGATAAACGTTTTTACTATCATTTAAGGCCCAGTTGACTCTTCGTACTCCGATATAAGTTGTCCATATTAAGCTTTTATAATTTTCCTGTAGACAAAACAGAAGAGGACGGCGACATCGTCCATTATACTACTACGGTTTCTAACACGTTCCCAAACAAGTATTTTCCTGACCATTACGTCTTCTGTAATTCAAATGGGAGTTACATTTCAACGAGGGTTACCTGGAACTCAGGTGAGATTTGTTTTAAATAGATATCCGTGATCTCTTTGAGGACCTAATTTTTTCAGTATTTCAGCTGCGGGAGCCGATAATGATAAGAGCCTAATTAAAACTGCCCTATGAGTGGTGGCGGTGCAGAAACCAGATCAAATTAACTATCTGCATTAGATAATGTTAATAGTAGATCAAGCTTTAAAAGAAATCGAATTCTCGAGATGGTAATTATAAAGACACAACTGTTTCAAACGATTCTGCAGCAAAAAACAATCACCGTAGATTGAAAATTATTTACATTGAAAGGCTTGTTAGAAGAAGAAAATCTGCCAGATGCTTCACAGGTCGTGCATGGCTATCGAATCATGCTACTTAGTTTTCGATACCATTTTTATAAATTGCTCGGCATAAACAATTTCTTTTGTTTTCCATAGACCAATTGTCGACGATTATTGAAGAAAATACAACGACAAAAACCTGGACTCCCGGCAATAAAACGTGTATGCTTATTTGTCCGTGTTACCGAGGCTTTAGGCATTTTAATAACTTGATATTTAAAAAGGCGTCCCTTTCTGTATTTTTAATGTATTACAAGGTAGTGAATATATCACGTAAAGTGTTTTATAAGTATGCTGAATGTCGATGATAAATCTGTCAATGTATTTGCGTTCTAAGGTTAGTTTATACGATATGCAAGTCCACACTGGCTTTGACCGTACGAAGATATAGTAAAGACTGAAGTGGTATAAATCTCCAGTTTTGGTCAGACATTTGATAAAAGGATGTCATTTCATTTCCAAAAGTACTGTCGCCCAGCGAGGGTGAAATTAGACAAGTATTATGAATGACAAATCAAATTTGTACTCAAGTGTATGTGCAAACTCTCGTACTTCCCAAAGTGAAAAAAACGCTTTGCACTCGTGTCTCTTAAAAACTGCAAGCAGACTAGTTCCGATCGTCTGAAATCCGTCTGACAATAAGTGATGTGAACGTTATAAACGGAATATGATTTTTGCAACATAATTTTTTCATTTTTCCCTTTCACATAAACGTACGCATCTTTTCCATGGAGCAGTGGTCTACGATCATTGTGGAGACTGAATGAACGACAAAACACTGAATTTAAGGAGTGTTTTGTATATTTTTATTCATTTATATTCATATTTCCAATTCATATATTTGCGTATCTCGAGAAGTCTGCATCCAGACACAAGGGAACACAAATCTTGATTTTTACCGTTATAGTGCATAGAGGCGCAATGAAACTTAGGGTTAGACTGATTTTATTCAGGCTCATTTCAGTTTGGAGTAGCAAAGCTAAAAGTGATATTCGCTGCAGTATGCGAGTAGGCATTAAGTCTAACAGTTAGAATGTTAAAGAAGGTCGACTGGAGCCAAAGTAGTCAGAATGCTATGCATTTTTCGAACGCGCATCATATTATTTTTGCAGAGACATAGATCGCCTGCCGGGAGACGAATTACACATATATGCTGTTTTGCGAAATCGATACTGGCAATTAAAGACAGATTCGCAGACTGCCTGCATAAACGTTTGTGTCGGTATTTGTTCTTGTCTGACGTCAGTATTAATCAAACTAAATCACGAACAGCAGAATTTATGGTCGATTGAGGGATATAGCATGAAAGTAAAAACCTAAGGTTCCAATTCAACGTATTTTCAGTGGCTGGTCCATTCCCTGAAACATTAGCCGAAATCGTGATCCCAAACAGAAAGGAACACCTATGTGAGGTTATAACATTGATTATTATAAAACATAAACTAAGGACAATTTAGTCACGTCGCAATGTCAATTTTCTAATAAGACCCTTCCTTAACACTCGAAAAAACCACTCCCAAAAATGATTGCGCTATTTCAAATGCAGATATATGCTATAAGCATCATAACAAAAATAGTTTCGTGTACCCCTTTGCTAGCACAAAACGTTTTTTAAATCTTTTTTAGCAGATGGGATATGTTTGGCCTTGCAAAGTTTGCACTCACGACACATTGTCCCCTCAATTTGCGTTACGACTGTCGGGTTCATCAATGTTTTAAACGGTTTAAATTGATTCGAGACTTTTATATGTCCTGTATGGCTGATTTTGCTAAGGCAGAGAAATATGAGCCTATAGCACACAATTTGCAAACCATCAAAGCAAGTGCAACGCATGTTGAACTTAAAACTTTTGGGTCGTAAAGTTTTCTTTTATCTTTAAGACCCGTATTCCAAAGTGTAAACTTTGAAGAAATCACAATTTGTTACAATATGTGCACAAGAAAATGTGTTCTTGTGCATGTGTTTTTATAAAATATATCTGCATTTATAATGGACCAAAATTGGTAGGAAAAATTAGTGCCGTTTAGTAGATATTTTGCAGATATTTTATATTTTTTGTTTTTCAGTCGGCCGGAAAGAAGCTCGTATCCGGATGTGCTTGGCGTGTTTAGAAATATATTGCATGATAATTAATATAACAGACTAACTTGTGTTGTTTTTTAGTCATAAGACGTTCCAGAATTTAAATTATCATCCCGTTCGAACGGTTATATATTCTATAACCCTTCTTATATTTTCATGAAACGAAAAGCCAAAGCTGGTGATCTGCAGGGCATTTTTTTCGCAATCATGGACACACGCTAATTTTGTTTGCATTACATACTGTCATACCACATGGAACGCAAATTAAGCTGATAAGAAGCTGCAGTGCTGATGCAATATAAACTGGAGTTCGGTTAAGAATAACTAGTTGTGTCTCTTTTTGCCGAAAAAACGGTGGATGTTTGACTGTTTGAAGGCCCAAAGGGGAATTGCAAGTTTGTTAAACTTCATTCTAACAGGTCCTGATCGAAACGACAGGAAAACTGGCACGTGGTCCACTGGTTAAAGGCGTTGGACGTCTAACCAACAGGTCTCGAGTTCAAGTCTCGTGTGTTCCACACTTCAGGGTTGGATATGACGGGCTGACGACGGCTAATAAGCCAGAAATGGCCATTCCAATCTCCCTTGTCTTTGTTGGTAATACCATACTGCTTATATCATGCGCCGTTGTGCGGCTGTTGGTTGGGCTCGAGAGAGCGAGTGCCGATAAGGTACAACGAGACGTGTAAGTTCCGTAGAAACGATCGGTGAGCGCCTCTCTACCATTCCCAGTTATTCTGTCCCGAAATCAGGCGTATTGGTGCTCAGCAAATGAATGTCCTAAAAAGAGAACAACCATAACCCGTCTATTGGGTAACTATAACTCCTAAGATGAGATTTCCTTGGACATCGACCACGGTAACTTAGTTCTTACATCAGTTTCTGTCTTAAAATACAAGTAACTCATATATTTGACCAAATTTGTGACTGTAAAAAATATAGTCAAAGCAAAAAATATGTGCTCTGTTCCGAAATAGTGCTGAAGAGCTTTATGGTCCAATTCGCACTTGATCTGAAAATATAGGACAGTGACTCAGTGCTCCAGTGTCTGATCATTTTTTCTCAACCATTAGCGTATCCATAAGGGGTTTACTTAAGTTTGAGGACAGTAAAACGCCGTGAGCAGCACCCAAGTTTTTCGATTTCCCACAAAGAATCATATCAGTTTGTTAGTAACATACATTTGCTGCAATAATCTTGCCTAGCAAGCGGTAACATTACTGTCAAAAACGAAATCATTTGCTTTTATGCTTTAAAATCTATGTAAATCGGACTGGAATGTAGAATAAATAGTAAATAGCGGTCCAGATGCTGCTGAAAGCGGAGGCAGAATATTAAGCAAATAATGATACTAAGCAAGAATTTATTCAGATGTATTTTCTCAAATATCGGACGGCATATTTGCATACACCGTTTTTTGCGGAAAAGGCCTGATAAGTATATTTTTGGGCCAACGATGCATGTACGTTAGGTGCCTTCTTATGCTGTCATAGGCAAATAACAGGTAATTGGATGGTCACAGTGGAACATTCAGCAAATGAATTTGGAACTTCGACAACTGGAGACCGATTATCAGTCGCACTTACGTATTTCATGACGTATATTTGAATATCGAATCCTGTGCTATCTAGATCTCGCTAAAGTTAGCCGCCAGAGCTGTTCTTTATTGCTGTAGAAGTAGCATGATTTTTCTTTTTGTTTACTGCATGCCCTGTCAACAGACATCGACTAGTAATCCACAACGCAGAGTCATTATGAACGACAACTAGCTCAAAAATATATGCTTGTGTCTTTCTAGCAGGGGACTGCATTCTAAACACGAAATCAGCCACATCACTTGTCGAGCCGAAAAAATGAGTTCTGGCTTGTAATGTGCTCACGGACATTTTGTACGCAAATTTCGTCATTTTAGCGAAAGTTGTTAAACAAATGTATCTGTGTTTTACTTATCCAGACGTAATGCCCTGATAAAATTTCCACATTGACTCGTGTGTTTTTATATTCCAAAAAAACTTGTCATACTGACTGCTCATTATCACATTGTCAATTATGTTGTTTAATCCGCTTTATTTACTGGAGTTTGCAGCATTTGTTTTGTTTAGACATTTCAACCCAGAATAATCATTTTTCTTGTTTACCGCTGAAAGTAGGAAATAGTTTTAAAAGTATATTTTGGCTTAAATAATCCTACATTTACCAGTTTGTGATCGATAGATATATAGTAAAAGTCATGCATCATTTTATGCGCAATCTTACCAGCACGTCAAAACACATGTTGACATTTTCGTTATTTAACGCATTTTTATGGCCTTTATTTCAGATGATCAGTGCTCTTGCCCAAGCTCATGTAAGATTACGAGAAAATGACCTTCTTATTTTCCGTTTACAAAAATAAACAAATTTATCTTTGTTTCTCAGATGACACAAGAGAACTGCCATCGTGTAAACGAGATGGTGAGTATTTCACCCCATAAATTCACGCGCCTGACAAAAAAACAATTATTAACGTTAAGCATTATTTTATCATCTAGCAGTATTTGAATGTTCCGGTCCTTGCCAAGGATAAAAAGTAAGTGAAGAGCACCCAGGATTAATAAATGTTAAGCGAATTTGAAAAAACCTCTCTGAATTTCGGTCATTTTTCTTAAAAAGGAATGCTGTACATTATGGTCTTTTAGCCCGTAAAATTCTCTTTCATATAATAGACATAAACCAATGAAAGCCCAACGTAAACAAAACTAGCCAGTTAATTACCCACTTCGTTTTAGGTAAATGCGCCGGTGTTTCGAAAGGAAATCTGTTAAAATTAAAAGAAAAACGATTACGGAGCTGAAGTGCCATTCGAACCTCTCCCATAAACTGTATTTCTTAATGACATGTATATGACGTTTCAAACAAAGTTATATCAGGGTTTCTGATGAGCCTTTTTAATGTGCAGATTTTCAAAGGACGCGCCACTAGTGAAATGTTTGCGGCTGTTGTGTTTATTGGTCGGCATACGAATGTGAGACAGTAGATAATTCAGACATCCGCATGCGACGTTTCAAGACCTAAAACTTGCAACTTAACGTATTGTGGACGTTTTTGTGTAAATGCTCATAAAAAAAACACGATAGTAAATTCATATCAATGCATTCGGGATACTTTTGCGTCCGCTGAGCGTGGTTGTGTAAATATTACGCAATCTTATATTCCGCGATTAACTTCACGGGTGGTGCTTGAGCTCGTCGCAGACAGAGTGGTAGATTGTCGATGCTCAACGCTCGGTTTTAAATGACAATGTGTCTATGCATCCGAGGTGGTTCTTGCCAAATTACCTTAAATTGATGAAAGCGATGTAAGTAGAAGAGAAAGCCCCAGATGAACGCAGTTCCGTCTAATGCCGTTTCGGAATAATCTGGCGAAGTTGCATAAATCACAACTATAGTAAAATTATCCATGATACTTCAAATTGTTTAAAACATTATTATCATTAATTATGCCTAATTCTAAAACGAACATCTGGCGGCCTTTTCGGCGATTGTTATCGACTTTGACACAGACGTTAACTAGGCTTTATAAACACTCATTTAATGTAACGAATATGGACATCAGTCTTCCTGCTCCTTGGAGAGCCGTTGTGAATTCGAAATGCAGTTAAGCGTTTTTTGAGCATTGCATAAAATGCACACGTCAATTTTGCGAATTTGAAAATAGCAAGACTGATTGGATTTAGTTAAAAGTCGTCAATAATCGTCTGAATACTACACAACACGTCCCTTCTTATTTTCACTGGACACATAAACTGAAACTTTACCTGACACTACCTGTGAGACCCCCACTTGGTTGGCAGGCCACTGTTTTTCCGGAAGTATGTAATTAGCAAAACACCTGCCGAAGCATTAACGAACAACATTTACTTACGAGTTCTGTTCGTTCAAATTAAAAATTAGTTCGCAAATGTGAATGTTTATTGTATGTAAAATCAAATGTGATAGACTTGACTAAAATCTATCAGCCTTAACTGTGACCCAAAATTACGAAGAAACTTTAGCGAAAATACTAGCTGCGCAAGAATTTGAGCACGATTAGAAAGTGAAGGACAATGCGTTGCACCCGAAGATAACTTATCAGGACTTTGTAACAAGGCCGACTAATTATGCAGTGATTTCATTTTGTAAAGCGATCGCAAATCGGAAAGCTAATGCCCTATGATTCGCAACGATTCCTTTGTAGAGAGACATCGATTTACCTCTCATTTTTCATGAGAAGCTACAAAACTGTTTCATTATTTTTATTCCAGTGATGCTTTCTCTAGCATGTTTTGTTCAGATATCTTGAAACTTAATTAATAATGCCGTATACGGAACTAGAGGGCGTTGTGTGAAACGATTTGGCGGTTTCAGTAGTACATAAGCCTTTCTTTAGCTTTAGCAAATCGCGACGTGAACTTTGAACAGCAGACAAACTCATTGGACGTACATGGTATGAAGTTCGCCTACGAGTTACCAATTCGATGTTTAACCTTCCTGTGTACGCTTAAAAAGAATTGGTGTATATTGTGCGGAGATTTAAGCCTTTTGTTAAGTGAGGGGTTTATTTTGATATTACGGAAGTTCAGTAGTTAAATCTGCCAGAGATTATCTTCCAGAACATTGTAAGCGTTTTTCTTTATTTAGAAGGAAACGCCCCTACATTGATATGTAAATAAATATTGCAGTCGCTAGCCCTCGATAGGATTTTAAAATGTCGCCAACATGAGGAAATTTCCGAACAAAACAGTTTCGTATGCTTGCTAGCTCGCGTCCGTAAACTTGATGTGAGCTGGGGTTGACAATTTGTTGTTGGTAGCCTGCGGGTCTAATTTACCCGCAGCACAAAGATCGGCGAAAGCAGTATCCGCTGCTTACCTGTCCGCATCAAACAGTTATTATTCGTTCATAAACTAGATGACCATCTTGATGTCTAGCGCCTTCAATTTTATGGTTGTTATAACACTTAATTTTGAACCAGAGGGAACCATATTAATTCGAACTTCACAAGTGTCTAGAAAGCGACCGCTTCGCATGAAGTCCTACGTGCGTTTTTGTGCAGCTGACAACTGTATTCAACTTCGTTATGATTTGTCTGGTCGAAAGATAGAGTAAAGACTGACCGGCAATCTAAAGCCGAAAAGAATTAATATTCTTAAAAAGACGTTTTGTCTACTAGACGCTATATTAAAAAAACCATCAATCACAACCGTCTCCCTGTCCTATTCCACTGTAACCTCTTAAACAAACTCTGCCTACCAGAATTTTTTCAAGGTCGCTGACAGTAAAGCGGCTGTTTAGCAATCGCAATGACTGATACACATGTGGTTGCCATGCGCAAGACCGACGGAACAGCTACTACCAATAATTTTACTTAAGTATTGATTTTGATCAAAAATGACATTAAACAACCCGATTTTTTGACCGTTTACGTTTCATGCGCATACATGCTGACGGACAAGAGTGGAATCGAACGGACTAAAATACGCAGAAATCAACGTTATATGCAAACCGAAACAAACAAAGCTATAGCTGTATACCAAGATATACAACTCAAATCGACAATCGCTACAAAATATGGCGAAGACGGAGCAAATCCTAATTTTTGTTTTTGCAATCATATTGGTCGGATTGTTCAAGCTTTCGAAATGAACTTATTGAAAACGCAAATAGAACTATAATACAAGCCGCTACATCAGTTACCTAAGTAAAACTTTAAAGCAAGCAAGGTCAGCAGCATTTAATGGTACCAGAAAATTTCGCGACGGCTTTTTAACTACAGCCTGTCGTTGCATAACACAAATAACAAATGAGAAAGGTACAGAGGTTTGAAGTTCGACAGAGAAAATCAATTTAAAACAGCAAGCTCAACGTATACTGCGCCTAGACTAGTGAATACAATGTTAACTTCAAAATGCAACATAGGAATGAAAATGGGGATGTTAACATGCCGAGGGAGTTCGAAAATCAAAAGGACTCAGGTTTATCAGGGCAAGCTGAGGTTGACCACGTGGTCTAACTGTTTAAATAGGTCGGGTTTCTCCCGCCGTATATAGGCTGCCTCCAGGTAGCGCAATAACCGAGTAGTTCTTGCTCGAACTAACACTCGAACAGACGTTTTGGGGTCAACCGAATGGCCAGTATCAAGGAAATGTTTTGTAATAGAAGACCGTGGAATCTTATTCTCCTGCTTTAGAAGCCATTGGCTGCCTTGGCTGCCAGTTGCCTTTGCGTTCGCCCAGTGTATTTGCATCCACAAGTGCATGTAAAGGATAAGGGTAAGGATATTATAACGGGCTTTTTGGGAGCAGACTGCTAAGTCAATTTTGGCCGTAAAGTGTTGCAGTACTTTTCGATTAATCATGCTGGATATCCTCGTTTAAGCAGGGCTGTTTTAAGAGGCAAGAAATTTCATCATCCAGCTTTTCAATAGAGCAAATGTTTTTTGCTCTGTGGAATAGAGTATAAACCAAATTTCGCTTTCGCTGTATCGATACAAAGCTCAAGAAGTGCAGGTATTGGCCTTTTCATGTATCTTTTTGGAAAACAGGTCGCCTTTTTGAATCATTTTCCTGTTTAGTCATGAGGACATCCAAGAAAGAAAGCTTGTTGCACTGCTCCTTTTCTATTGTGAATCTAATCTTTGGATGCAAACAGTTCATGGCAACAAGTAGGTCTTAGGCTTTATCGTCGTTATCAAAAATGGTAAAAATGTCGTCTACATATCTTTTGTAGTGCTTTCCTATTCAATTTGTTTGAGAACGTTTCTTCTAAGTGACCCATAAAAATGTCGGCAAGGGTTGGACCAAGTGGTCTTCCCATTGCCGCTCCATCAATTTGTCTGTATAACTGTTCATTGAACAGAAATTGAACGTTTTTCGTGCAATGTTTTAACATGTCACATAATATTTCGGGTGAAAGGCGGGTTTCAGACGCATGAACGCGTGGTCAACCTCAGCTTGCCCTGGTAGACCTGAGCCCTTTTGATTTTCGAAATCCCTCGGCATGTTTACATCCCCATTTTCATTCCTATGTTGCATTTTGAAGTCAACATTTTATTCACTAGTCTACGCGCAGTATACGTTGAACTTGCTGTTTTAAATTGATTTTCTCTGTCGAACTGCAAACCTCTGTACCTTTCTCATTTGTTATTTGTGTTATGCAACGACAAGCTGCAGTTAAAAGGCGTCGCGAAATTTTCTGGTACCATTAAATGCTGCTGACCTTGCTTGATTTAAATTCATTCCGGGAAAATACTGCTTCTAAGCATAACTATTGCATCTTACATTTGTCCTACATATTAGAAGTCTAAATCTGATTTATATTTGAGAATGTCTGTTCCAACAGTATGTGTCTACTAAAATAATTAATACAGTAAACCAGCCCAGAGAGATTTGCGTGTACTATAGTGCATCAGACCTCTTATTTTATTTTTCACTTAAGAATACTCGATTAAAATGCACTTACACTTTCTTCCAACCCCGACTTAAAATCTGCACTGCGACAAAAGTGTTGCCATGAGGCACGAAACATTGGTACGTAAGCTGCATTAGATGAGGCCATTGACATCGCTGCTCCTATGGCGTACCACAGTTAGACTTATTTGGCGTCTATAATAAAAAGTATTGTACAATTCAAGAAATTTTCTTTCTCCAACACGGGTTAGAAAAAAATGATTGTTGATAAAGATTAACAAATTGCCCTTTTCAGAAAAAATAGTACTTGCTCCATCGACATCTCCCAGTTAATACGAAAAACACAGCATCTTTTATGTGTAACGACTAGCAAAAGGGCCACAAATCCCCAGACAATTTCCGGGTGAAAGGAATCACAAGGCGTGCGGGGCTATGCAGAACATTAATCGAAGTCTGCGTGAGAGTAATTTCCCAAGAGAAGTATTTTATGGGTAGCATGAACAAGCTCGATTCACTTATTCACGTGTGTCGATATTTCAAGTTCCTCAAATTTCATGTTGTAAAAAAGGGAATTAATCTATAAAAGACAAAACATATAAGAAAGGCTTAGGTAATACTGAAACCGTCAAATCGTTTCACACAACGCTCTCTACTTCCGTATACGGCATCATTAAATAAAGGTTCAAGATATCTGAACAGAACATGCTAGAGAAAGCATCACTGGAATAAAAATAATGAAACAGTTTTGTCGCTTCTCATGAAAAATGAGAGAAAAATCAATGTTTCTCTAAAAGGAAACATTGCGAATCATAGGGCATTAGCTTTCCGATTTGCGATCGCTTTACAAAATGAAATCACTGCATAATTAGTCGGCTTTTTTACAAAGTCCTGATAAGTTATCTTTGGATGCAACGCATTGTCCTTCACTTTCTAATCGTGCTCAAATTCTTGCGCAGCTAGTATTTTCACTAAGGTTCGATTCACTTATTCACGTGTGTCGATATTTCAAGTTCCTCAAACTTCATGTTGTAAAAAAGTGAATTGATCTATAAAAGACAGAACATATTATTCGTTCTGCTTTCATTACTACAGCATTTGAAATGCACCCGTTTATATGATATGACCGCTGGTAGGGTACAGAAAGCTATCATTGAGGAAACAAGGATTAAGGTCACACTTCCTTTCTACTTTAATCTTTCTTAACCTGCGTACCGGCAGAGTCAAGCCCTAAGACATATTGCACCAATAAGATGACAAATTCAGAAGCCAGCGCGGAGTCAGTGACGGGCAAGGCTGAGCAGCAGCGTCCGGCTAAGGGGATAAGCTATTCATTTAATTTGGATGCCCATCTTTGCACAGTCGACGTTTCAGCAGAAGAAACGTGTGACTTATCGTGCAGCAGGAGCTACATTGTGTCGTAATGTAGCTTGTGGCAGTGTGTGTTGGTGAGCCTGTGTGAACTGGCAGGGGGTTTTGGAGGTAGTCGAGACCGTCTTCTCCTAGTAAAGATTTTTACGTATGTACATGTAGCAGGCAAATGATTTGACAGCTCATGACGCGCGTTCGCCGGTCTTATTTCGATGCATTCACAAGTGGCTGGCCTGCCAGATTTGGGTTTAGCATTTGCGGTCACAAGGAGGACAGGTTAAAATTAATGTTTAGTTTGCTGGAGGTGATAACGGTCACCAGCAGAGTGATGATGCTTAGGCGGAGAGGTCACGTTTTTGTTCACTTAGTTTGGATGTACACGTTTGTATATTTGATATTTCAGCTATCTTGAAGAAGAAGAAGAAGAAGAAGAAGAAGAAGAAGAAGGAGAAGAAGACACGGTCGTTGGGACAAGAGCTTTATTAGTCTGACGTTTCGGATACCTGCACGAACCCATCATCAGAGACGAGAGCAGATACGGGTGGTTCATGCACAAGGGGCTGCAGTATTTATAGGATGCAGTTCCCATGCTACCGCATACCTATAAACATTCACGGCTCCCCCTTCATCCGGGATCGTAGCACGTGGTGTGATGATTGTTTGATGGCCGACATATGAGTCGTTAATTGCTGCAACCTCATCACGTGCGTTGGATGTTGATGTGATGATGGCTTGACCATCTGACACACCGACCCTAGTATTGGGAAAAGTGTTCACATGTGCGATTTCCTCGTGGCTAATTACTCCGCCTAGGCGAAGTCTCAGCACCGACTATGGAAGCGGAAGATAACTGCACTTGCTAATGGACTGGGGGCCAGTAAACCATGACTCAGGCAGTTCCCGGCTCACGCGGTTTTCGCCTCTAGCGTCAATTTCGGCCCCGTCGAATTTCAGCTGTCATACTGGCGTTAAATGTGAACCTCACATAGACTGCAGGACTAATACGTGTGACGTGCCGTGCAGCAGGAGCATCGTATTTATGCGTTGTAGTGCGAGTTTAGATGTCGATTAAGACACTGCGTGTGCCCGCATGTACGGACTGGTCGGATATTTGGAGGCAGTCGCGATCGTCTTTTCCACCTGAAGATTTTTACAAATGCACATTTAGCAAGCAAGTAAGCTTGAAATGGAGATGTATGGTGAGGGCACATGACACGCGTTCGCCGGTCACATTTTTATGGATTCACAGGTGGCCGACCTGCCTGTTTCATGGTTATAAATTGCGATCAAAAATAGAACAGGTTAGAATTAATGTTCAGTTTTCTGGCGGCAACAACGCTTATTCGCTTGATAGTGCTGATGCGGAAGAGTGTGGAATAGAGGTGCATGCATGTTCGTTTGTTTGTTTTCGTTGAGCTGCTGGTGATGCCGACCTTTTTATGTTGATTTGCGCTCCATGCACTGACGTTGTATCCGAACATGCCAACGAGTACGCTGCGTATACTAAACATGATCTGTCATGCGATCGACCGCCATACACTGCCTGCTGTCAGCGGGTCGTTACACAGAAATCCATTGAACCTGGACAACAAATCTAGTGTTATCTTTATATTGCCTTCCTCTGTAACTACGCAGACTGAATGATAGAAACGGAAAATGATCGTCCCATCCGACGAGTCAGTATCGCTTCGAGAGTTGTCAGTCAAAAACAAAATCGGGCCTCCAAATATTCCATTGAGTCTGGTCGTAAATCTGCAAACAGCTGACGTTAACTCGCCCTAGATATTGATCGTCATGCGTCAAGATATGCACTTCAACAAACCAAAATGATAACAAATTCACCGGCAAAAGGTTAACGGCAAAACGGTTCAAAAAGTAGGCTTGCTAACGGAACCGCTCCAAATACGTCATTTAACTACTCTCGCACAAGGTATTTGGTTTATTTAATATAAGATTCCAGCAGTGGAGTTGCAATTTCCTCATACCCGTCGAAAGGAAATACAGAACCACTGGGATAGATCAATCTAGGGTACTTAAACGTTCCAGCGCGCGATGCTGAATTCCTAATCTTGACGATGGGGCTTATATGAGGTGCACAGATTTTTATCGGTCCCACGATGCGCCTGTTGTCGGTGGTCCGTGAAATAGCCTGCATACGGCGTGGCGCAGCTATAAGAGGCTCCCTACTCCCACTTTGTGGGATCCCTACCCGGTGGCCGTGTAGAGTTGTTGTAGTTGAGGTTGAAAATTGCAAGATATCCTCGCTTAAGTAATGCTTCCTTGAGGCGCGCAAATTTTGCATTCAGTGTGTCCTTGAGGCAAACGTTCCTAGACCTTTAGAAAAGAGCGTATACCAATGGTAATGTAACTGGGTATGCCCTCTTTTCAAAAGGGCTAGGAACATTTGCTCCAATGAAACTCTAGATGCAGAATTTCCACGCCTCAAGGAAGCTCTACTTAAGCGAGGATATCCTGCACGTTGCATCCACAAAAAAAGCAACTCTACACGACCTTAATTGACAGGGCATTCAGTTCCGAAAAAGCCCGTCTTTATATCTTTGCCCTTTAAGGACGACAATATTTTAAATACTATCAAACGACGGCTGCGTTTCAGCATTGAAAGGACATACAATGCCGCCGAACTAGTATTATGCAGTCCTACTAAGCCCTTTCCGATTCCATGGGCAAAAGATGCCTCGCCAATACACGCCACTTCAAATTGTGTTTATGGATTCAAATGCACTAGCGGAAGCAAGTACATTGGGCGAACGTAAATGCAGTGGGCAGCCAGGTCTATTGAACGCCTGCCGAGATGGCTCCTAAACCACAAAAAATAAAATCCCGCATTCCTCCATTACGAAACGCCTGTTTAATAATGGTCACACCGTCGACCCCAAAAATTCCTTCCGAGCACTTGTTCGGGCACGAACAACTCGGATATTGCGTAGCCTAGAGGCGGCCTATATAAGACGGGTGAAACCAGATCTTTGTAAAAAGTTGGAACACGTGATTAACCTAACATTGCCACGGTAGCCTCTAGCTCCATGAATTCACCTTCCCCTCTCACTTTTTGCTCATCAAAGCTCCCCTTTTTTCACTTTCTCCCGCTACGGTGTTTGATTTACTCACTTTATCAATTAACCAGCTTTACCGAAAACCATGACCTTGCTGTTTCTGCATTGATTTTCTGCACGAATTCAAATCTGTTATATTCTTCCCACTCGTTATCAATGTTTTGAAGCGACAGGACGCCACTGACCAGTCGTTTCAAAATTGTTTGGTATCATTAAATCCTGCCCTGGTTGCCTACTTCAGATTCGTACCGGGGACAAAATGCCTCAAACAATCAACTCTAAATAAGATAAGTGTTTTACAAAGTATTCCTTCTGGCGTGCTTCTCTCTCTTTATGTTTTTCAAAATGCACTGCCAAATTCGGCACTGAACACTGTAATGTGAACGTGTGCTTAAAAAGACACAGTCCGACATTTGGTGGATGATAAAGTCGTGTCTCCTATGGAAGGTAAGATTTTGCACAAAGTGAATAATGCCAGTACTATCCAGAACCACTGACACGTGGTCGTAAGGGGTGTATAAAATCGTGCTACCGCATACCTACAGCAATTAACCGTGCTCCCTTCATCAAGGATTGTTGCCCGCTGGTTCGCTAATTGCTTGATGGCCGGCATGCAAGTTGTTAATTGCTGACATCTCATCACCCGTGTTGGATGCTGGCGTGATGATTGCTCGGCCATCTGGCTCACGTGCTTGCGCGCTCCTCGAGTGGTCAATTGCTTTGGCCAGTCTATGCCTCAGGACAGAATATGGAGTGGGGATGTCGTTGCACTTGTTGATAGACTGAGGTCCCGTGAACCATGACTCAAGCAACTCGCGGCTCACGCGATTATCCCCTCTCGCGAGAATTTCGGCCTCATCGAACTTGAATGTGTGACCAGGTCTCGTTGAATGGGGCGCGACCTGAGAGTTGGCGTCATTTCTCCGTACAGCTGCCGCGTGTTCGGCGATTCGCGTCCGGAGCAGTCTTCCAGTTTCTCCGACGTAGTTGCTTTGTCCGCAACTGTACCAGATCCGGTAAACGACTCCAGATGTTTCTTTTGACCAAAAGACCCACTGCCACGCCAAGAAACATCTGAAGTCGTTTACCGGATCTGGTACAGTTGCGGACAAAGCAACTACGTCGGAGAAACTGGAAGACTGCTCCGGACGCGAATCGCCGAACACGCGGCAGCTGTACGGAGAAATGACGCCAACTCTCAGGTCGCGCCCCATTCAACGAGACCTGGTCACACATTCAAGTTCGATGAGGCCGAAATTCTCGCGAGAGGGGATAATCGCGTGAGCCGCGAGTTGCTTGAGTCATGGTTCACGGGACCTCAGTCTATCAACAAGTGCAACGACATCCCCACTCCATATTCTGTCCTGAGGCATAGACTGGCCAAAGCAATTGACCACTCGAGGAGCGCGCAAGCACGTGAGCCAGATGGCCGAGCAATCATCACGCCAGCATCCAACACGGGTGATGAGATGTCAGCAATTAACAACTTGCATGCCGGCCATCAAGCAATTAGCGAACCAGCGGGCAACAATCCTTGATGAAGGGAGCACGGTTAATTGCTGTAGGTATGCGGTAGCATGGCGACCGCATCCTATTAATACTGCGACTTCCTGTACACTAGCCAGCCTTTTCTGCAACTGTCTCTGATGATGGATTCAAGAGAGAATCCGAAACGTCAGGCGAATAAAGCCATTGTTCCAGCGATCGCTTCTTCTTCTGATAGTGATTCATTTTATTAAATAATTGCTAATTTGCAAACAATAAAACACAACGACGGCAAAGAAATACACACCGTTATCGTGTACAAAGAAAACAAAGACGTGCTTGTTAACTTTAACACTGAAATGTCTCAGTACTTTATATGTTTGTTTGCAAATATATATGCGCCTTTTGTTTCCTGCAGACTAGCATCAATGGTCCACTCCTCCTCTTCCAACAAACATGGACCCACATGCTGTGTCTCCACTTCTAAATAAATGGATTAGGCATTGGTACAACTAAACAGCTATTATAATTGCTTATCTAATCACGTTAGCGTTAGACCAGGTAGGGATGGAAATGACGAAACAACAACAAGGACGCGTTGTCGTAAAGTAATTGTTTGAAAAAGTCAAATAAACAGTTCAAGATGCAAGACGCGTTTAATTGAAGGCGCCTGAAATTGACAAGATATCTTCTTTTTGGTCATAGGAGCGGAGTTATACCCCTGTATCTTGGGGACTTTCGGGTCCGATTAGCCAAATCCACTTGGTGAATATCCCTGAAGTTTTTGAATGACTTGTGTGAACGTTCCATTTCATACCAACATTCCGTGCTGTCAAAGTTTCCTTTGACGCAGGGCCATTAAAACAAAGATGGGTTTTACTAGACCGACAAATATATTAACCTATTGCTTGTGTGGTGCATATCATATACTACTGAAAACCACTTGAACGGAATGTGCCAACCTGAGGTACTTCAAATTACCTCGAGGAAAAATCCCTATGCTTAAGTAGACTGGGTGCGAGCTGCGAAGTTTCCATACGAGTTTATGTACCATGGTTTGCATTTTCGTGACAACAAATCACAGACGGAACTGACACCCAACAAACATACTGAAAAAGGTGACATAATATAGCTCGTTCTTTTCAGATAACAACAGAACTATGTTGGATGGTGCCTTTTAAGTATTTCTTAATTTCATCACGAATACTGTGGAGAATACGAGGAATATGGGATATTGGAGGTTAAGAGAAGCCATGTTAGGAGGGAGAAGATGAGAATTGGTGCGGAGAATTGCATGCAGTTAATAGATTTTGGTAATGGTAGATGAGGAACTTGCACGTCGTTCTTCGGTGTCCACAAAATCGGAGTTCGGGGTCTGATGGCAGTCATTTATGCTGTTGCTGCCAAGCGCTGACTGCAGTAATTTAGGGCGGTTTGTTGGAAAGTTCTAAATCACGCGATATCTTCACGAGCAAGCTGGGAGAATTTCGGCTGAGGAACCAGGTCAATAAAATAAGGCATCACGGTCACGGTGCTGTTAATATGTTTGCAATTGTCATCCACGCCCTGGCTAGTGAATCTTACGAAGCGTATCAGTAGCGAGAATTAAGATATTATTCTCTAGCGGCTCCATGTTACAACTAAAACGCAAGATTTAATTGCCAGCTCCGATAACCCTCGTTCGCATTTTATTATCCACCTGCTAGAGTGAACAGGCGATATTGATCTTACAAGCAGGCTCCTATGCAAGAGTGCGGAAATGCCATTGCCCCCACATTGCCTGAGAAGGAGCTGAATGAAGAGCAGAGACAGCAAAAGTTTCACACTTGTTGTTGATTTAAAGATTTAAGGGACATAACGCAGCATACTAAACGATACTGAGCCAATCTAAGCCATCGTGACAGCATTTGCTACCAATGGGAGAAGTGACTGCTGCCAGGTTACGAAAGGCGATTTTGTGCACACTGAAGAATTTCGCACAGATGCCGCATTTCCCAGGCACAAAATTCGGTCAACTGTATACAACTATCAGCTCCCCCAACTCATACGGTAATTCGTAACCCTCGCTGCCACCTATCCCCTTTTTCGCCAAATCTCACTCGTTCAATTCTTTCGTCAATCACTCCTGTCACTAACCTGATCTTAGTCCGAAATGAATGCACTGGCCTAATGCGAGCGTAATGCCTGCAAACTTGGGCTCGTCAACTAATCGCCTGAGTTACCCAAAACTTTGTTTTATGGGCTTCCCATCGTAAAGGACCTGTAAATGTCGCAACAATGAAATGCACCTAGGCTGCTTTTTGCTTTAGGGAGTCCTGTGTATGGCGCCTGCGTCGTCTTTTTTTCCCATCCAACTGCACTTCCGACATAATCTCTGAACTTACGAAAATATAGTCGCGTGTCTCGCTCTTATTCTACGCTTCGTAAGAAAAAGACTTATTTTTACCTGGGTTCTTACGCGCAAGTATTTTCCCAGATCTGCAGGAAGTATAACGCACCCTTGTCGTCAATATGTCCAAATAACAGACCAGGATTTTACGAACTGAAGTTAAGGAGCAGACCATACGGAAAAATTGGTCAACCCTCATCGTAAACATTTTGCCAAACTCACCTCAATGTGAGGCAGTCAATCTACCCAGCAGTTGTTTTAGTCACATAACCGACTAACCGAACAGGAGAAACCTCCACGAGGTGTTACTTTCGGGATGAATTCCATATCCTGATTTTTTACTCAAAGTTACAATCTGTCTACGTAGGTCGCTGCTTATTTGACTGACATAAAGACTGCGAGTTAAGATAAGATATTCAAATAAACCATCAGACTTGGTTTGTACCTTGTTTTTCGGGAAAAATTTGCAGATCAAGGTTTCAGCAAGCATTCTTTTGCTTTGAACTCCTAAGCCTTAATGTAATGCCTAATATTACCCAGAAACTGTTGTTGATCATATAACCACGTTTTAAATAGTCCAGTCTATATTACGCAATGTGACCCATTCTTCGTCGTTATACGTCAGACATTTCGGAACGTGTCACGCAATTGCATTATGTTTGCAAACGATCAACTAAGACAGTGTCCACTTGATGCAAAACGACATGCAAGAAATCTTCCTAGCCCTTGTGACACGACTGCTTTCCGAGAAATGATGCACATCGTGAATAAGGGGAAACTTGGCCCTTTTCGCAACAGTAACTCTTTTAATATGAACCGGCCTGTCTCGTTGGTATGCTCAGCATGTTTTCATGATGACAACATGAAGTCGCAGATTATCCCGATATTAAGGAAGCGAGTGGCATAACCTGCCGTTTAAGTCAAAGTTTGTTTCCGTTTAATCCAATGGCCGCCTCACGTGCATGTCAACTATATCTGGTAGCTACCGCAGTTGGCAAGCCGTTTGAGGCTTCGGTCCTAGATGCCATGTCGGTTGACAATTTGACATTCGTCGACTGGCTCTTAGCACACCTTCGTTCCAATCTGCCACTGAGCCCAGCTATGATTTCGGCCTCTACAAAGTTTGCCGGCTGCATCCAGTCTCTCTGACTTGTATTTTGGCAATTCCTTTCAGACGAATGGCGCTTTTTAACTGGGTGCATTTACGTGGTAATTGCACATTAATTCGGGTGCAGCCATTCGCTGTCGCAAGATGTAAGTTAGTCATTTTGTATTAACGCGCTTGAGGTGTGGCCAAAATCAACATAAGAGTCCTGTACAAAATAAACCCCATCGCCCAAATTTAAATGGCTTGATACGCGTGCAGAAATGTTTAAAGGTGGTATATTCATGCTTGCAGAAAATCGCAAGGGTGCGACAATTTTGAGATCAACCACACCAAACGCTTTGGATCTCCCTCTAACTAAGTGGTTTGGGTTTAGCGCCTACAATCTCATAGCGGATCACCTCGAAAAAGGATTGAATATGCAAGCACCAATGGGTGTCCCATCCGCCAAACGAAATGCCTGATTCGTAGCCGTACTTAATATTTGGGCTGAAATCGGTATATGGCTTCAGAAAAGCGCCTTAACTTCATTCCAGAAATGCCCAACATAAACATTTGTTTTATTTTTGAACATCCTGCGACGTCAAGAATCGTTTTTGTGTAATTGGGTGATTTAAATTGCATGAAGCAAAGCCTCGCTCATCCGCCCTAATTCCCATTGCTTTATTCTTGCTGATCAATCTATCGGCTTGGGCTACTTTTGTAATGCTGAAGTATGAAAAACAGGCATCGGAAACCAATAAATATCCATAGTGACAGTGATGACATTGTAGATTAGCCATGGAAAGAGTTATTTGTTCCCTTCAGTCACTTTGCATTTTTAATTAGCTGGACGCTCGCATTATCGCAAATTTACTATTACGCTAGCTGTATAAAGGAAAACGATAAAAACTGCTTGGCATATGTGGTGTAACACTTATCGGTACGTGTCATGTCTTAATATTTCTTGTTTAAATGCCTACTGCCTCTAATGTTTGATTTGAATATTTCGACTTGCAATCCATCTTTTCATTAGCAACAAAACACTCACCTGCATCATCTTCGTAGATGACAGATATATTAAACAGGAAAACAGACAATATGTTTATTTAGAAAATACGAATCACAAAATACAATGGCATTGTTTTTGGCACGTCGCATGCAAATCACTACAAACATTATTATAATTAAATAGAGACGTTCGATCACCTGCAAAACTCTCTTTTTAATTTGGCAACATTATCTCCGAGACATCAGCGTACACCTCTAAGAGAGAAGTCATGATAAATAGGTTAGCTTGTTTTCCACACGTCGGATAGCTTTACACCGGGTTAGTAATCCAATAAAATAGCAATGAATAGCAGAAAATGACCAAAATAATTCGCTCTGAGGCAGAGTACTCCTATCTCAAAACAAGAACAAAAATGAAAACAATGTTCATTGAAATTTGTGCAAACTCTACCTGCCCTGAGGTGTTATTACTCACCCGTTATTTTTGGCATGAATCTGAGCAGTCGAATGTTGCTTATTTTTTAAGAAAAATGTGTGATGTTAATTGATTATTAGTTTGAAATTCTGTTTCAAGTTAAGTAAGACTTACCCGTTGATTTGCAGGCTGAAACTTCCGATGCTTCAGCTAAAAAATAAAATTTAATTCGCATATTATTTTGCAAAACAAACACAAGAACGTCATCATCATATCATCTTACGTGTGTTTGGACAAGAGCACGGATCATCTGTAATAAAAGTCATAAAACCGTGTGTTAAATAGCGCGAATCCTAACATTTGTAAGGATATGCCAACGAAACTATTTATAACAGCATGTAAGACGGCTATTTCTTAGGGATGTTTTTAAGAATGTTAAGTTAATTGATCTTCTAATCTCAATTCTCGATAGTTCTATGCAAAACGCGGTAGACGTTTCTTGTACGCAATAATGAGCCATTCTCAAATCCAGTATTTTTAATGCGGTGAAGAAGAATTGTGATGGGCAATTCTGGTGCGCTCTAGCCAACACATAATTCGGTGTCAAACTAATAAGATTAGTTTAAGTGACCTCTTACTCACTACCTGAATATATATTAGTCACATCAACTGAAATCCAACAGAGCAGTTCACAGACTGATTCATCCATTTACCTGCCCAGATTCGTTCAGAAGGCGGAGAGGTCTAGCTGGTCTATGACAGATTATACTATGCACCACTGCCGACAACATGTCAGATAGTATGGGCAACACAGCCAGCAACGTTACGATAGAAAACGGATGCAAATGTTGCTTCATAAGTATTATTTCTCAAAAATACTACCACCACATCGTGCGGTGCTTGATTTACTGTACGTTATTTATCAATATCCGCGTTATGTCCATAAAAGGTTGAACGGACAAACCCGAAGACCTATCGATTTTCTACCTGTATCACTTTGACTCGTTAGGCCTTATTATTGCAGTTGGGTTAAGCTTCACAAGAGGCCAATTTAATTATGAACATTCTTCGGAAGTCACTATGTATTTAAGTCTAATCTCCTGAGTGTTCCTCAGGATGTACTGCAATCTTGCCTCCCCAAAACGGGCCATGCAGTAAATGCGCTACCTTCCTCTTGTATAAAAATCCTACTCATTGTATGTGGTGGGTCAGGGTGTTTAGTTGTACGCCAAGGTGCGCGTTTGTGTCCTGTCAGTCAAATGTGCCCTCTGAAGTCTCCGGTTTCCTTGACTCTGTCTTGTCACTCGGGAGCAGATAGGGGATAAGTGTAGAGTGCGTTCGATGCAACGCATGTCCACTATCACAAATAAACGAATTCACTTTCCATGCTGCCACCCTTCCCTGTTGCACATAGGAGACATCATCAGAAACGACGTTAGAATTGTCATGTAGCTGACCCAAAATCTAATAAGGCTTTGTGCGTTAAGGAGATATATTTGGATTGTATAAACAGCGTTAGGCGGGCAATGAATTCAGTGTATTTTCGGCCAATAGCATCAATCAAATGCAAATTGCATGCTAATAAACCGTGTGATCACTTCCAGTTAGGCGGCATATATTTTTCGGCTGACGTTTTATGTGCTCTATGCCAGCTTTAGGATGAACTCTTCCAGGATATTGTGCTTGCATACAGTGACAACTTTTGTCAGAATCAAAGCTTAGCTGCATTTGTAAGAGTGAAAATGTCAAAATAACTAAGTTCTAGGATCAATTTCGATAGATATTTTACCATGTGGTTGAGAGTTACCTTAAATGCTAATACCGGTTGCTCAGGTTTTACGGTGCTTGCATATTTTGGAGGTCATTTAATTCTCGAATACATGAGGTCTCATTAGTCCGATGAAGGGGCATACTGCCACCGACTTCGCATTTTCTCATGCATTTAAAAGCAGTCGAATTTCAGCATGACAAGACAGATATAAATATATTATTTCGAGTTTATTGCCATTTATAGTGGCCCAGTGTTTCGCATAACTAGTCTCTGTCCGAAAATTATAGATCAGAGCTCCATTATGGAACAGAAGATTTGTATTACGTAGTGTGACTTTTCAATCTTCAGTAAGATCTGAAAACTTAAAATTAAGGATGTCGCCGTGGTCTAATCCTGGATTGAATGTTTACTAACATAATATAGCCAATATTGTCGGTGTAATTACTGTTTGTGGACAGGTTTGGGGCCAAAATTGCCGTGGATAAAAGTCAAACAAACAAGAGGATGTAGAGAGAACTTGCACAGTTAAATGTAACACGAGGTGTGTTCTATGCCATGCAATGGCAATCTGATCATAAAACTAACACTTCAATATGTAACTGCATTTTGGCATACATAAGTACACTTGTGAATGTTACTACCGTAATTCAATAATGTCGTTGTTTCCGTCTCCACAATGATCGTTGACTGCTGTTCTATTCAAAACACAAAAGCGTAAAATAAGCAATCGAAGCAGAACTACTGGTGGGAGAAATCTATTGTTGAAAGAAAACGGGCGTTAGGCTACCAGAACTAATGTTTTCATGGTTTTTGAAAGAAGCACATAAGTGTCCTATATTGTACCATAATAACACATTAATTTTGTAATTGTATATTCCGAATATTTCGTTGGCGCATCTACAGTAGATGTGCTAACTCCTGAAATGTCAACATACATTTCGAAATGCGTTCTCGTTTCGAAAAGATAAATTAAGTTGTGTTGTAAAACTAATAAAGATGCCACATAAGTCTGTAATAATCCAGTTACCTCAGGGTGTCGGCTATCGAATCAACTTATTTTCGGCTGCATAAATGTATTATACTCTGCAAAAAATTACGACTCAAGTAGCATGCAATTTTCTCATTGAATTTCCATGCCCTTGAAAATTCGATTATATTTCATGGAAAACATGCATAAGAATATTTATTATTTTACATATTCCGTAGAAAATCACGTCTTTTTTCAATTTAATACTCAAAAGAAGAGTATAATTCGGTTTTAAAAAACCGTTATAATTCACGTATAATTTTGAACCCGACCTGCTGTTACATTTGTATTTGGGATTTCAAAACTGCAAGCTGTATATTTTCCGTGTACGGAAAACCATGCATTTCTCTACGGTGTTAAGAGGAGACTATGTGAGGTTCATAAAATTAAGCAGTGGATTTGAGCCATATTCTTAAATGTACAAGCCACATTCGTAAATGCAGATACATGACGTTTCATGAACGGCCATTTAACGGTATTAAAAAACCTCGCAGAAAACAGAGGAATGCTTAACAAAAACCACTGTGTCATAATTCAGGGCTTCGCAGAGTCCTCCGCCAGTTCCCCCAGGGAACGAATCGCTGCTGACTTAGAGCAATTCCAGAAACTCCTCAATGAAATGCTGCAACCAACAGAAAATGTCACAGTCCTAAAGGCGTTTCGTCTTGATAGCCGTTTAACCGCCGCTCCACAGACACGACCAAGACCCCTGAAAATTGTTCTAGGTAGCAATGAACAGGCGAAACTAATCCTTTTCAGATGTTTTCGACTGAAACATTCCCATAAAGGAGTGTTTTTTCAGCCGGACTACTCACCTGCAGAGAGAATGAAACGCCGCGAACTTGTCCTAGAATTGAGAACACGACAAACCAACGGAGAAAAAGACTTGACAATCTACAACGACCGGATAGTCAAACGACATTCCGCTCCCCTCTGGACCAAGCCGATCCGAATGACTGCACAGCTACCCCAGTAGCCCGTGTCGGGTTTGAAAACAAATCTCTCATGAACTCGAAACTCATATTCATGTATACCAACGCGCAAAGTGTACTTTCTAAACTGGACGAACTCCGTATCCATACCTACGACCTCCATCCAGATGTTATCTCAATAACAGAAACATGGTTGTCCGAACAGGTTGATGATAGAGAGCTTATGCTCCCTGGATTTCAACTGTTCCGCCGAGACAGAGAAAACAGAAGGGGTGGAGGCATAATAACATTTGCTAAGAACGGCTTGCACGTTTCAGAAAAAACCGCCCAACTGACTTGTAGTACCGAAGCATTATGGCTGACCATAAGGGCACCGGGCTCTCAAAGTCTCGATATCTTGACAGTATATCGCCCCCCGACAAATGACCCTGACGCTGATGCCCAAATGCTGGAGGAGCTTAGGCTATTTTCAACGCAGCCGACCACTCTCATCGTTGGAGATTTTAATGCACCTCACATCGACTGGAGCTCGGCCTCAGCCGACTGCTCTGAAGCAGCATTTGACCAGCAGCTACTGCGTACCTCCGACAACCTGCTTCTCACACAACACGTAATGTTTCCAACTAGAGTTCGAGAGGGCCAACAGATGAACTGCCTCGATCTTGTGTTCACCAAGTCGTCTGACAACATCGACGTTGTGAATTGCCTCCCCCCGTTGGGTCAGAGTGACCATGTAGTTCCCATGTGGGAATACACGTTATTCTCCCTTCCTGCACAACCGCTCGATTCCCGACCTAATATTTGGCGCGGCTATTTCGAACAGATGAAAAAGGATCTTATTCCTATCGACTGGGCATCCACTCTCTCCGGCGATGTCGAAGAGGCTTGGTGTCAGTTCAAAGAGTTAGTCCACAACCTCATCTCCAACCACTGCCAATCATGTGCAGAAGACTAACAAATAGGCCTCGCTGGTTGACTCCGTCCTTAAAGAAGGAAGGTAACAAGAAGAGGAAGCTATGGAAAAGATCGCTGACGGATCGCACTCCAGAATCCCTGAGCAGTTATAAGTTACAGGGAAATCGGGTCAAAATTCTCATCGCCAGAGATAGGAAAGCTTTAGAAAAGAATCTTTTGAACCGTGCCATGATTAATCCAAAAATCTTTTACAGCTACATAAGACAGAGCACACGGAACAAATATCCTGTCCCACTGCTGCGAACGGCTGAGGGTGTGGAAATCTCCGATGACAAGTGTTATGACCCGGTAGGAAGGTAGGACAGGAAGAGAGCCGGTTCGGAGGACAAGCACTTTATTGGGACTTGCGGACAGGAGGGAGTTACAACTCGTAAGAAAGTGTGCTATTTATTGGCTCCCGTGCGTTCTGGAACATTCCGTCCAATGACGTGACAGTCGTAGAGGGCGTTCTAGAATGTTCCTGTCCCGAGCGTGCTGGTCGCTGATTGGCCACCGCGTGCGCGATAGCCCCGCCGCGGAAACGTCTGGAATGTTCGGCCATCCATTGATTGGGCCGCACACGTGAGCAAAGCCACCACGCGTGCTCGGCGCTGCAGTGCGCGCCGGTCGGTTGTCTAACTTCGCGCGTGACTCACGTCGCCCACTTGGTCCTTTGTTTGGCGCCCTAGGCCGTGTCTCTACGCCGCTTTCACTCTCCATAACACCTCCCGCTTTTGAAAGTTGGACCTCGTACCTCTTCTTCTTCGGGTCCAAGACCAGTTTCCTTGGCGGTTGCGTTCTTCTGCTACTTCTACGAACGACGGGTAATGTTTTCTGACTGTCTACCGTGGGGGTTGGAACCTCAAAGGTATCACACAGCAAGTCCAGTGCCATTTGACTGTCTCTGGTGTGTCTAGTCCTGAGCTGATTTGCATGCCTCTTTATTTTTCCAGCTGCTGTCTCCACCTCGAACACAACACCTCTGGATTTTCTTATTATGCCTTCTATCCAGGGCTTCTCTCCGGCTTTGTAGTTGCGAGCAAACACCTCCTCTCCCTCGCGAAAGTACTATTTTGTTGTTTGTGGAACTCGAGCTTCCGGTTGTAGGTACTGTAATCGCGTATCCGGCTGTCGTCCCAAAAACCGTTCTGCTGGTGTCTGGCCCCCAAGATCACTTTTTGGAGTTGTTCGATAGGCAAAGAGCAATGTGTTGAGATACTCCAGTTTAACACCAGTGTTCCACATCTTTTTCATCGCTCTCTTGAACGTGTCGACGAACCGTTCTGCCTGGCCATTTGATTGTGGATGGAATGGTGGTGACGTCACATGTCGAATTCCCCATTTCTGGCACAGTTGTTGGAAAATTGATGACGTGAACTGAGTGCCGTTATCCGTCACAATCTCCGTGGGGATGCCGTATCTCGCTATTAGTTCTTCCGTCTTCCTTGCCGTGATATCAGCAGTAGCTGCCGAGACGTCGAAAACTTCTAGCCACTTGGACCATGCATCGACAACTATTAGAAACATTCGGTTGAAAAACGGACCCGCAAAGTCCATATGGACTCTACTCCAAGGTCTCGTTACCTCTGGCCATGGCACGGGCGGTACTTTCGGTGGGTTCTTAGCCTCACGTCCACACGGGCCGCAGCTTCGAACGAAAGATTCCTCGTCGTTATCAATTCCCGGCCAATATACGTACTTGCGGGCCAGTTGTTTCATGCGGGTCATACCCTGATGTCCGGCATGGAGCTCCCGCAAAACTTGTTGCTGATATCTGGTTGGAATCACCACTTTACCATCGTACATTATGCAGTCTTCCGTGATATACAACTGTTCCTTTCTGTTCCTGAAAGGCTTTATCGATGGGTGTACTTTGTCGTCGCTGGGCCAACCGTTCCGAATAAACTCTTTCACCTGGCGCCAAAGTGGGTCTGCTGCAGTGGTGGCCCTGATGTGCTCGGCTGTGAGCGGCAACTGTCGGATGGCACCTCTAAACTCGTCATCATCTTGCATTAGCGTACTGGCGACAACCACGTCTTCTTGATTCTCGTTGCCTGTACTCAGTCGTCATAAAGCGTCCGGAGCTCCAAACTTCTGAGTGGGCACATATTGGATCTGAAAGTCATAGTTTTGAAGAATAGTACTCCAGCGTTGTATTCTCCTAGCTACGTTCTGGGGAACACCACGGTTAGTACCCAAAAGGAACTTCAGTGGTTGATGATCAGTGCGCAGTGTGAAGGGTCTGCCATAAATAAACAGGTGGAATCTCTGTACGGCGAAGATAATGGCCAGTGCCTCCTTTTCAATCTGGCTATAATTCCGTTCTGCCTTCGTCAGTGACCTGGCGGCATGCATGATTGGCTGTACTCTCCCATCTGCGTCCTTCTGAAGGAGCACTCCGCCTAAACCGTAATCAGAGGCGTCTGCCTGGACAATGGTTTCTTTGTCAGCCTCGAAGTGCGATAGCATAGTTGAGTCGCATATCTTTGTCTTTATGGCATCAAACGCGTTTTGACATTCTGGAGACCAAACAAACTCCACGTCCTTGCACAGAAGTCGGCTGAGTGGAGGTTTTAAACTGTGCAACCCAGTGATGAACGGACCGTAGTAGCTGACCAACCCCATAAACGATTGCAGCTCCTTCGTGTTCTTCGGCACTTTCATGTTCTGGAATGCCTTCACCCTCTCTGGGTCAGGGGCACGCCCATTCTCGTTGACTATGAACCCGAGATAGTGGATCTCCTTCCGCAAAAATTCACTTTTCTCCATATTGACCTTAAGGCCGTAGTCGATCAGATTGTCCACAACCTGGTCCAGCCTTTGAGTCAGCTCTTCCTCTGAGCTACCGACAACCAAAATATCGTCCAGATATGCAATAGTCCCGGGAACATTCGTAAGCATCGTATCCATAATCTGCTGGAACACACTAGGCGCCGTTTTCACGCCGTAGTTTAGGCGAGTGTATCTGAAGAGACCCTTATGCGTATTTATGGTCAAAAGCTCCTGTGATTTCTCGTCCACCTCAATTTGCAAGTAAGCTTCGGATAGATCGATCCTTGCAAAGACTTTCCCTCCATTTAGAGTAGCAAAAATCTGCTCTAAGGTTGGCAGCGGGTAATGATAATCTTCTAGTGCGTCGTTCAGGCCCGTTGAATAATCCGCACATAATCGTATTTGTCCGTTGGGTTTCTTCACCGCCACGACTGGAGCAGCCCAAGCTGAATAATTGGTAGGATAGATTATGCCCTTTTCCTGTAGTCTTTCTAGTTCAGCTTCTACGGACGACTGTACCGCAAACGGGACTCGTCGGCTCTGCTTGAAAGCTGGCTGTTTCTCCGGCTTCACTTTCAAACTTATCTTCGTTTTCGTGCACCGGCCGGCCGCGTTCTCCATGCGTTCCATATACTTATTCTTCAGGACCTCCTCAGTAGTGTTGCGCACCGCGCTGCAAATTTCGTCAAAGGGACGGTTCCACAATCCCAGTTCGGAGATCGTCTTATTTCCGAGAAGATTGTTACGGGTCTTCGACACATAGACATCTGCGAGGCAAGTCATGTTTCGAAAACTGACAGTCGCCTGGAAAACGCCTTCAAATTCCATACGCGTCTCGTTCGACGCCCACGCTAGGATCTCTGATGGTGTCAGTTCTGGAGAACCGATGTCCTCCCATGTGCGCATGCTTATTATGGTCAGATCAGAAGCCGTGTCTACTTGTAATGTGATCGGCTTTTCGTTAATCTTCACTGTCAGGTATTTCCGGTGTTCACAGTTGAGTACATGCGAATCGTCTTCTAAAACGACATGGCAATTCTTTCTTGGGCTAGTGTGCGCTGCTCTGCAATGTGAAGCTTTATGGCCAACACGGGAACATTTGTAGCACTTCCTACTACGGTAGGGGCATTCACTCACGTAGTGCCAGCCGCCGCACAGCCAACAAGCCGTCTTTGGCTTCCGTGGAGAAACTCTATTTGGTTGTGGTTGTCTCGACTTTGTGTCGAAAACGTAAACTGGCTGACTATTTGTGCTTCCAATAAGCCGGGTGTCTTGCTTAATATTTGTGATTCGGACACATTCCTCTGCCAGTTCCTGTACTGTCATATCGCCTTTCTGGTCTAGCTGGGCGAGTAACCGCGTGCGCACATCTGCATCTTCTGGCAACGTCGACGACTTAATGAAGAATAGTGCTTTAATCTGTGTGCTGGTGGCCTGTTCTAGCTCGGCTTGTTAAAAAGTATCACTAACTCGACCGGCCAAGTCAAAATAGTCTTCTTCAGGCTTACGTTCTAGCTTGAAACATTCATAACGTCGATTGAATAACGACTTTGTAAAACAGAACAATGCTTTCAGATGCTTGACTGTGTCCTTAAACGAGACATCTGATGGTTTCTGAGGCAGAATGAACTTTACGTACCGCTCGTGTTCCCGCTGGGCCAGTTTTAGCAGAATGATTTCCACTTTCGTCTTGTCGTCCAGTTCTGCTCCCTTCTCTTCGAACAGTCCTTCGTACTTTCGAAACCAGGCTTCGAAATTTACGCCTCCCTCTGGATCGTAAACGAACTCGTTGATCCGTTGTTCGACCTGTTTCCTCTTGTTCTCTCTGGATGCCGGTCCCCAATTTCGTTGCATTTCCGTGAGTAATGCCATGAAGCTGGCCTGCTGGGCCTCCAGTATGTGCTTCATTTGTTCTTCTGATATCATTTTGCTGCACCTGCGTCGCCAGTTGTTATGACCCGGTAGGAAGGTAGGACAGGAAGAGTGCCGGTTCGGAGGACAAGCACCTTATTGGGACTTGCGGACAGGAGGGAGTTACAACTCGTAAGAAAGTGTGCTATTTATTGGCTCCCGTGCGTTCTGGAACATTCCGTCCAATGACGTGACAGTCGTAGAGGGCGTTCTAGAATGTTCCTGTCCCGAGCGTGCTGGTCGCTGATTGGCCACCGCGTGCGCGATAGCCCCGCCGCGGAAACGTCTGGAATGTTCGGCCATCCATTGATTGGGCCGCACACGTGAGCAAAGCCACCACGCGTGCTCGGCGCTGCAGTGCGCGCCGGTCGGTTGTCTAACTTCGCGCGTGACTCACGTCGCCCACTTGGTCCTTTGTTTGGCGCCCTAGGCCGTGTCTCTACGCCGCTTTCACTCGCCATAACAACAAGGATAAGGCTGAACATCTCTCTCAGTTCTTCCGGTCAGTCGTGACAAGTGAACCTGCTTTTTCCTCACCCGCTTATGAAGACTAAGAAACGCCTACCATTGAAGCTGTATTCTTCACCGAAGCAATTGTTCGGAATGAATTACTTAATCTGAAAGAATCGACCTCCCCCGGCCCTGATGCAATCCCCGCCAAGCTGCTGAAGGAACTAGCTCCCGAAATGTCCAAGCCGTTAGCCTTGATCTTCCAAACGTCATTTCTTACTGGATGCCTGCCCTCTGATTGGAAGTCCGCTACCATCACTCCGCTTTTTAAGGGTGGAAGTCGTGCGTCGGCGAATAACTACAGGCCAGTGAGTCTTACCTCCACCTGTTGCAAAATCACGGAGAAGATCATTAAGAAGGTCTTGATGCAGTTCCTCGAGCATCACCACCTGCTCTCTGATGACCAATACGGCTTTCGAAGAGGTAGGTCCAGCCTGACGAATCTGCTCTTTACGCTCGAACGCTGGACCAAAGCACGCGATGAAGGCAATGTGGTGCACGCCATCTACATCGACTTCAAAAAGGCCTTCGACAGAGTTCCCCACCAACGTCTCTTGTACAAACTGCGTAACGCTGGAATTCGTGGACGCCTTCTTGTATGGATCCAGAGCTTTTTGGCTGGACGGTTCCAAAGATTGCAGGTCAGGCGTCAGCAGTCCTCAGAGGTAAGCGTGGTGAGTGGCGTCCCACAGGACTCAGTCTTAGTTTCCACGTTATTCCTCGTTTTCATAAATGAATGCGTCAAGGACTTAGACTGTGATACCGTCCTGTTTGCCAACGACATTATATTGTGGAAAGTTATTCACAATGCGGCAGACGCAGACCACCTGCAAGCAAACTTGAACAGGCTCGAAGACTGGCCGAAGCGCTGGTTTATGCCCTTCAATATAAGCAAGTGTAACTTTCTTCAACTCGGCGGCTTTAGAGCCCCCAGCCCCAGGACCTACTTTCTACACGGCACACCACTACAACAGGTTGACAGTCCGAAGGACCTGGGTGTATGGATTACATCTTCACTCAAACCAACACTGCACTGCGCGAAGGCGGCTTAATCGGCTACGGCCACATTGCAACTCATTAGGCGAGCATTTATGGGATTTGACCCTGACTGCTTTTCCAAAATATGTGGCACCTTCGTGCGACCTCATCTAGAATACGCCATACAGGCGTGGAGACCCTGGACTGTCAAGGATTATACCGTCTTGGAGAAGGTCCAGAGACGGGCGACCAAAATGACACAAGGTCTGGGAGCACTGCCCTATGAAAACAGACTGTCAATCCTCAACCTGTTTCCCCTTTCCTACAGGCAATTACGTGGTGACCGTATACTAACATTTCGTATCATCAACGGCCTAGACTGTTGTTTAGATCCCACTGATTATTTCACCCAAGCTAACACGCCCACTTTGCGCGGTCATCCCCTAAAACTACGCGCAGGGAAATCAAAAACCAATGGACGAAAGTTCTTTTTCAGTAACAGAGTGGTTGCAGCCTGGAAGGCCCTACCTATCGATGTTGTAACCTCCTCCTGTGTGAACTCCTTCAAGTGTAGACTTGACCTGCATCAAGCTTCCCAATTACCACCCCCACGTCCACTCACATGACCCGGTACCATATTATATGTGTTTATACTACTTGTAATTAGTAAGTAGCCATTAATGATTACTCTTTTTCGACTAGCTGTCAGCTGTCCGCGAGTATGTACAAAATCCCTTTTTCACCTTCCCATTTATCAATGTTTTTCTCCGACGACTTGTAACCAAGAGGGAGTTCAAAGGCGCTTGCCTATATTTCCCTTACTAAACTGATACTGATACTGAATTAGAAACTTTTTTAAAACCGAATTATACTCTTCTTTAGAGTATGAACTTGGAATAAGACGTGATTTTCTACCGAATAAGTAAAAGAATGAAATCTTTTATGCATGTTTTACATGAAATATAATTTAATTTTCAAGAGCATCGAAAATCAATTAGAAAATTGCATACTAATTATGTAGCCATTTTGTGCAGATTACAGATCTTGCACGCAGCCGAAAATAGGTTGATTCGAAAGCTGACACCCTGTGGTAACTGGATCATTATAGAGTTATGCTGCATCATGATTAGTTTTACAACACTAATTAATTTATCTTTTCGAAACGAGAACGCTTTTCAAAATTTTGGTTGACATTTCATGAGTTAGCACATCTATTGTATGTTCAATATGTTCAACTATCTTTAACAAGTCGTTCGCTTTGGCCGAATGTAAACTTGTTAAACATGTCTAATAGCGCTTTAATCTGAACGACTTAGATGCGAACGGTAATCCAACTAGCCTTGTGCCGAAACGCGTTATAAGCTCGCATGACTATCATTGGCTTCCAAAGAATTCTTGCAAAATTTAAGCCTAATTTATTTAGCAAATCCTGTTCCATGTCCTTACTTTAACGCGCATATGAAAATGTTGTACTAAAAAATCGTTGTATGTATATACAGAGAAGTTTGTGTGTAGCTACCGTTATCGAGTGTTGTTGCATGCTCTTCAGTGGTCGTCAGTAGTTGAGCTATGGGAAGTGAAAAATAAAACATGACATTTTGTATGAGAAGCATATTCTGCCAGACAGTTTTAACTTCTATAGCATCAGCAATGAGTCAGTTTCTTGAAATATACTTTATTATGTAGTGAACCGACACATATTTTTTATTTTATTCATTAATGACGTTAATTTCTTAATTGTGATGTCTGGTATATATTATGTTTAAGTTTTCTTAGTATTTCAGAATATAGGGCCTGGTTTTACCTTAAACGCAACTCCCAACACCATCAATTAACGATAGTCAATTTTTAACTTTCGTCTATTTGCACCATTTTGGCCGAAAAGAACAGCAAATTTTACCTTCGTTCCAGGTGATCTTTATCGACATGTAGCCCAAAGTATTGCAGAAGATATACTGGTCAGGAAAATATTTTTTGGAGCCGTATTGTACACTGTTGTATTATATGTGACGGTATCGTTGTCCTCGTGTGTTTTCACTGAAAGTTAATTCCGAGTGTTACCTAAGCTCTGCCTACTACAGGTGATCAGTAAATGGATTTATTTGTAAAATATAGTAAAAAAATCCGCTGATAAATCATTTACTGCATGTTTTATGGTCTCGTTGTATGAACACAAGACTCTATTCAAACACAAAAAACTCATAGGAATATTTCTTTTTGATTATTTGGCAAGTGCAAGGATCATTAACTGCAGCTCACACTTTCGCTTGTATTGCACAATGATTTCCGAATTGCGCATGTCACCATTGTTTGGGAACTTTCATTGATAGTTCGAATCAGTGGTATAGAATATTGCGGTTGAATACAACCTAAAACAGGAAACACTTCTTGTCTAACATACTTTGGGAAGGGAATGATTTATTTTCTACATTATCAAAATAGCACTTACATATATTGTTTATTGACCAGTTGTTCTCGGGTACAATGAATTGTGTAAGGAGTGTTGTTCGTCCCGAGCGATTAAACTGCTTTACCTGCCATCCGATTCGAAAGTATTCCTCAGGTTTACAGATCTGAGCTTGCACTTCATAGTTTTTTCCATCTAAAATTCGACAGAATCGAAAGATTTCTCAGACAAATACATTGTCAATTGCAAGTTTTAGTCTATTAGGTTGCTTCTCAGGCGTTCGTAGCACATGAATCTAATGTAATTCTAATTGAACTAAGTAGAAGACGCCCTCCGATAAGCAGCACCATACACTGACTGTGCAATGATGTATGCGCGCATGCTTCGCGAAATTACATCTGCATGTTAAAATAAGGAGTTTAAATGAAGTCTATCTCAAATCATGTCAAACCATAATGGTTCAAACAGTATGCAGTCATTGCTCTACGATTTTAGGAAATATCGCCGTAAACCAGATGCTGAGAAGGAACAGAGGGCTGTACAGTGGCGTGACAAAAAGTGCTAACCATCGGAAATTATGCTACTAGACTCAAGAGAAATGCCATATCCAAAGTCATGCATATGCCTACATTTTGGCGTTGGTGGACACACATATAATTGCTCTACCACTGAAATTACTACGGTTTTCTGAGGAATGGTTAACTAATAAGAGAATGATTTTGGTGGTCTTAAGATCACTATTCACCTATGTTCTTTCGTGAAGCAGTCAACATAGTGCTTGAGGACACGTCTGAATCTTCGTCTGAGATAAAGCTGACACCGAGATACGTTAGCCATTTACTAACGACGGCCAATGACATTTAAATGAACTGTTCGATGGTGCTTTTGCAGGCAAGACTTTGTGGACAATTTCATGCCGAAATAAAGGACGAAGCATGTCGGAGCATCCGTATTAGGTGGTATTCAGCATACAAGACTTGTATGTATGTGACATTGCCAGCTGGTGGTCAGTGCCATATAGAAGCTACGTCGAGGAGTTCATTTTCCTTCTATGAACAAATGAAATCATAGGTTTGGTTCATTGGATGCTCCTACGCATAGGTTCCGTTATGAGAAGAGGCTATCTTTAGTATTATGGGGAGTTTTGAGAAGAATGCACCCCAAATTGCGTCTGTATAATTATATCAGAAAGAAATATTTTGTGTGTGACCACCCAGGAAATTAAACTTGGCCAAAATGTTTGTTTTAAAATGACTGGTAAGCATTTAGTGTAAAACGGAGAGAAAAGGTCTATAGGAATCTATGAGATCACATCCAGTTGGCACAAACGTACATTGACAAAGGTTTTTTTCACCTGGGCATTACAAATACCAACTCAACTAAACAAAGTAAAGAAAGTTTGCTTATGGGGTTCATGTACGGTTGAAGGCAAAACCATTTAATAATGGTTCACCGATCAACACAAGACAGACATTTGAAGACCGTAACATTTTTTAATCGGCCCACGCATAAGGCGCCTGCCAGTCTTCAGATACTTACATTTAAGATCCGCCCAAACGCGAGGACAGTTGTCTGCTCGTGTTACGTAGAGGTCTTGGCAATGAGAAGTCAAAAATCAAATTTCGAAAAACAACTGAATCCCGTGGTCCAAATCGCTTTACTATGATTTCGAGCCCATTCTCCGCAAATCTGATCGATTCTCTTTTGGCTAATATCTTGTGCTTTTTGTTGCATGCATGAATGGCTTTTTTCCAGCATATTCATGCGATGTGTTTTATTCGGTTTTTTGTTTAACGTTCTTTATCATTTTGTAAATGGTATAACGGGAAAAATCATATTCTTGTTAAGGTTAGAAATAAAAATAATCATAGAACAAACCGCATACCGTTTGCCTGGGAGTAGTTAACTGTAATTGACTCATTGACTGTGGCCTTGCATGACACATTATTGCAGGGAAGATGAAGGTTATTCAAGTGTATGTCCTAGAAAAAAGTATATTATTCCATCGAGGGCAAATACAGATCGAATCCACTGCCCCGGAAATGTAGCAGAGCAAAGCAACGTCAAAAATCCCTTTGTGCATTATCTAGCAATATCATTTGAATTTTTAAATATCCTTAAAATATAGATAGCAATTTTTATAATTAGTCACATTTACTGAAAACCAATCTGAGAAAAAGGCTTTCATAATTTGTGCTACCCGATAATTTATTAGTATGCATCGTAAAGTAAATTGTGGTTTTAGTTACTTATTAAAATGATCCATAAGTGGATTAAACACATATTCAAATTAATGATACTTCATTCCTAACACATATTCATGAATGCACTACCGTAAGCTGCTCTGGAAGGCTCACGCGCACCCATGTGCATGAGTCCAATGAGGTGACAACGTTATCTCCCAGTCCGTCTGATAATGGCAGATCCTCTTCTTGGGCAAAACCTACGCATAAACAAGAAAATGCTGTCCGTTTATATGTAATTTACTACAAATAAAATCCCAAATGTTTATTTTATTTATTTGGGAAAATAAACTAGATGAATCCCTCCTTCCACAAATTTTATCATAATTCTTAGGATGGAAGGATGTGCAGCAGATAAAAGTACTTCTATACATTGATAGTTCAACACTGGACGCACTTTAACTTGGCGTGTATATTTACTTTGAAACAGCCTATTTTGGTCAACTTTAAGTGCTAAATCCACCGCACCCACTCAGGATTCTTTGTAATGCACATCGTATTTTAAAATTTGCCCATTCTGTCTTGTTCGCTTCAAGAAAGCCTGCAAAGTACAAGACATACCAATCACGAAATTCATAAAAAAGATAAGGGCGATGACTTTCACTTTGCAGAAGTGTTAGACGTTGTCTGACCTCCCATATATATTTCGCAAAATTCACTCTCGGTTGCGCAGACATGAAGGTGACTGTCAGTTTGATTTGGATAGGCTATCCCGTCTTTGCGAAGCATTGCATCGGTTGTAATTGAGCCCCGATTTGCATGCATTTTGAAAAGATTTTCTTTGACGCCGCCAGTTGCCGATCTGGATTAAGGCCGCACATGTTTCTGAGTGTGGTTATGACATGAGCGTAAACAACCTAATCAGCTTCGCCACAATGGGTGAACAAGACGCCGTCCTTGTGGTATAGTCTTCTTTTCAACTTTTTCGAGATCAGCGATGGTAATTATGATAGACGGACGAGTGTGTTGTGGGTTGCAAATATCTCCAAATCAAAACTAGTTGACTTAATAAGCTGCTTATATCTGTTAGAATATAGCACTTTCAGATTTGTTTAAAAATAATCCGCGAATTTACCTGAATGTAAGCATTCAAAGTACTGCGAATAAACTAGTGCGGATAATTCACCATTTTCAACGCATTAATTTTCCACACGCGACTTTCCTTCTCTGATTAAAATAATGTCAACGAAATAGCAAACGTTCATGATTATGACCATTCTTTGTCGGAGATAATTCTCCAGAAATACATTTTTGTCTCCATCTACAATAAAAGTCTTTAGAAGCCTAAAGCCACCCAGATGCCAAAATACTTGCAAAACGGGTAAACCATTGTGCCCTTTAAACCTTTACGTAATCCTATTAATTGTGGTGAGATAATGTAATATCGTGTCTTAAAACAGCAGTTTTCAGATAAGGATGGGTGCAGTTGTACAATAGGACGCCTTTACTTCTCCGGAAATTTATAGGCGAATATCAAATAAATTATTTGAAATAAGGTTTTTTGGCTCCGGTGGAAAGCAAATATATGTCACCGAAAGCAATTTAAGCGCTACTTTTTGGCAGGATGCCAACAAACTGCCAATAGCAGGCAAATGCTTTTTTGTTTCACACGTTTCGAGTTCAGGCAATGTCCAAAATATTCATGCACGCTTTTTGCCTATGTTTGCTGTCGCTTTTCGCGCATGCGTTCATTTGGTATTCTGACAACTATTTTACTTTAACCGATAATGTTTTCCGTTCCAAAAATTAATACGTTTACTCGGAGTGCTCTCATTAGAAGAAATATTTCATGGCTGCTGCCTGGCCTTAATATAGTGAATCCATTATCAATCGTGCACTACAGACCAGTTGTTGACAAGTGGGGAATATGTTACTGTTATTCGGATAAGCTGATAGATGCCATCCAAAATCTTCATATCAACTTTCAGGATTGAGCTCGATGCGTTCATTGTTGAATCATACAGTGCGTGCCTGATCTCATGGAATGTTGGCCAAAAATCTCGAATGCGTTTCCGATAAGGAAGGATAAATTACAAGGGGTTGTTATACTGATTATCATGCACCATAACCCTATAACAGTTCGGACTAATCAGGATGTCGACTTTCGAACGCACTTCTTTGTGACCTCCTGCAAAAAAACACATTTGGCGATAAATTGCTACTAAAATAGCATGTAGTTTTCCCATTGATTTTCGATGCTCTAATATATTGAAACATATTTTATAAAAAACATGCACAAAAAATGTTTTCTTTTACTCGTTTGGTAGGAAATCACATTGTCTTTCTAATTTGTTTTCGAAGAAAATGTGTCTTTAGGTTTTTAAAAAGTTTCCCAATTCCCGCATAATTTTCATCCTGATCTGCCAATGCATCAGCATTTAACAATTTCAATCTTCAGAATGCACGCTTTGCACGTTAGGAAAATCATATATTTCTCTATGTCGTTAAGAAGATGTCACATAGAGTTGATGAAATTTTGCTATGGATCCGGACTGTGTTGTACATTTCATGAGGAGCATTAGTAAAAGAACATGTGCGTTCTTGCATGCAAAGTCTCATAATGAGAGACATTTTTAAAACCTTCATGCACAATTTATTCGGACATAAAATATAAAGACAATGTGATTTCCTACCAAATGAGTAAAAAAAGCATATTTTTGCGCATGTTTTCTATAAAATAAGTTTTAATTTATAAGAGCATCGAAAATCAGTGGGAAAATGCATGCTATTTTAGTAGCCATTTTTTTACGAAGTGTGGTTTCTGCAGGAGGTCACGAAGAAGTGCGTTCGAAAGTCGACATCCTGATGAGTCCGAACTGTTATAGGGTTATGCTGCATGATAATCAGTATAACAACCCCACCTAAGTTATCCTACCTTATCGGAAACGCATTCGATAAGTGTGGCCAACATTATATGAGATCGGTCACGCGCTGTAAGTAAAATAAAGGCTTGACCAAATGGATGATGCATAATGCTCATGTGCAGTGCTAGACGACACGCAGAAGCGATATAAAACGGAGACTGAGAATATGAGTAATCACTCAAGGCCTGTATTTTTTTCCATCAAGTTTTATCGTTCAGCACTGCTGTGTGGGCGTGCGATACAACGATATTTACGGCAAAGTAAGTCGCTTCTGGTGCACTGTGGCGAACAAAATGACAAAAAAGACTTTTAGTGCATTCAACTTGCTATCTGCACTCTCCTATTGGTTGGATCTCTGAAGAGAAAAAGAGACTAAACCTCGACTCAGCGAATATGTTATGGCCTATATCAACCATATCAGCTGACTTTGGACCATGTTTTCATTAAACCTTTGGCGATGCTGTTTTTCTACCTCTCAGTTGCCCGCATTGCTGAAAGAAATTGGCAGTTGTGCTAAGCGCCATAGCAGAGAAGTCTGTCGGAGTATATTTAATCACACTATCGCCTTCCGTTTAAAACATGGCACTGAGTGCACGCAAAAGGCTTTGGATTTTTTGGATTTTTTGATGTTCGATAAAAACACCTCACTTCTTGAGTGAGAGTTTCTAAGTAGTTGTCTCCTAAGAGAAATCAGTTGTAACCACACCGTCCGGAGACTTGCCTGAAAGAGAAGACATTTAGAACTCTGTGATATCTGTGTCGGCGCTTCAAAATTCAAACAAAATATTAGTGTCGATGAGGTCCATTAACCGTGCAATAAGAGCATAATGAAATTATATCTTCAGCCCAGATGCCTGATTCGCATGTACAGTAGGAATACTAACTTATGAAATGTTAATCAAAATTCTGAAATGCGTTTTTGTTTCGAAAAGATGAATTAAGTAGGGTCGTAAAACTAATCATTACGCGGCATAATTCTATAATAGTGCGGCTACGTGAAGATTACAGCATTCAAACGAACTTCTTTTCGTCTTCTATCAAAACCTGTACTTTGTAAAAAAAGCCTGCTTAGGTAACATATGATTTTACCACCGATTTTCGATGTCACTAACAGTTCAACTATATTTCATAGAAAGCGCATGAAATATTCATTCTTTCGCTGATTTTCTAGAAAAATACGTCTTCTCCCGATTATATACTCGTAAAATGGTATAATCGGTTTTTTAATATCTTTTCTAATTTCTGAATAATTTTAAACCCGACCTTACGTTATATTTGCATTTGATATTTCCAAACCACAAGCTGTAGATTTTCCTGCGTACGAAAAGACATACATTTCTCTACGGTACTAAACAGAGACTATATGAGGTTCATAAAATTTGGCAGTGGATTCGAGCCATATTACTAAATTTACAAGTCGCATTAGCAAATGAAGAGACATGAGGCTTTATGAACGGCCGCTCCACGACATTACAAAATCTCACAATTAGAAACTTTTGAAAACCAACTAATGAAATATAATTTTTTACGGGCATCGAAAATCAATGAGCAAAATGTATGCTACAAAAGTAGTCAATTTTTACAGAGAATAGCCTAAAAGAAGTTCGCTTGAATGCCAGCATCCCGAGGTATCCCGAATTAGTTTAAACGTTTTCTGCTTGATAACTAGTTTAACGACTCTACCTAAATAATTTTTTTGAAACGAAATCGTATTTCAGAATTTCGGTTAACATTATATGAGTTAGCACACCTACTGTAGGAAGCCGAATTGTATATGCTTGAAAACTAAGGATAAAATCGAAAAATTTGCTGAGTCAAATGACTCCTGCAGTGAGTAAATAGCTACGCCAACGCGTCTTGAAACACCGACAGCAGTAGTGGTTTTTGGCGATACAATCGAAAAGACGATTTCCTGGAAGCAGTTTAATAGAAGTATATTGTATCGCTGAGACAAGAATTTAACTCGCCCTGTCGTTGCTGATTTCCACTTAAACTCACCATCCGAGAAAGCCAAATGTACATGTGATGCACGCACAAGGACCACACATTTGAAAGGATGCAGTTGCCATTCCACTATAATCGATTGTTATTCTCGATGAGAACATTACTTGCTGCTCATATCCATGTCGGCAGTTGATTATTGTCTTAATTAGTAAATAATTTTCTTCTATGATGCTGTCAGTAGGAGGGGGGACCATTTAGGCGACCCAGGTGCGTGCATCTGCATGACCGTCTCTGATTAGGGGTAAGAATGACAATTTTGGAACGCCGGGTGAAAAAAAGTCTCAAACCGTGGATCTTCTCTTCGTCTTCAGAATGGTTCCTAAAATTACCCTGAGTCAGGAAGGTCAAGAAGATTTCAATCTACTTGGCAGGAGAGCTTTGGGTAAATTGTCGTCCCTTAGTTTCTTTCATAGCTTAGATAGTTACTCCTATGTTCGTTAAGTTGGAACGATGCAACAAGCGAGCCCCAGGAAGCCGTTCAGAAAAAGAAGATGCAATCACTGGAACAAGTAGTTAATTGGCATGTCGTTGCGGAGGCTCATTCGAATCCATCATCTGCAACCGTCCCTTAGGATGTATTAAAGTGAGAATCCGCTGCATATGGCTAATAAAATTCTTGTTCCTGTCATGACATTTTCTCCTTCTGATATAGAACTTTTCATAGCGTTTCGCAAAGCATACTGAGCAGTGAGCCGCACACTTCATAATG